TTTCCTTATTAAAGCAGAAAGAACTTACCAAGGTAAGACCATCAGGACCAAGATTTCCAGGGTTTTCAGCTTTTACCTCCTTTTCAAGTTTTTTAATAGGCTAGAGTCGCCAGTGTTATTAATAAGATCCTGCAATTAGATGTCACTTTTTTAAATGCAAAAAAACTTACGTTAAAACCAGGTGTACTACCTAAAATAGGCTGTCTCTGTTGCAGTGTTTTATCGATAACCGGATACGCGGTTGCAAGTTCCGCTAGAATTGTGAGGGAAAAAACAATAGAAGCATGCATTGTGATCAAGGATTTCAGATATAAGATCTTGCAAGTATAAGTTCGTAAAGTACGGTTATGGCTACTCTTTACAACTCTCAAGCAGTGGCTTAAGAGCACAGTAGAAGGTACAAGGGTCTTAAAGAAGTGAGTTTAGTGATGCATGTCTTGGTCTATCTATCGGAAAGAGTGAGAGGCTTTATATAGTTATAGATACTACAAACAACAAGCTAAAAGAGGGTATTACGATGTTTCCTGTATACGAGTCACGCTTGCCGTATGTCCTTTAGCTAGGAGTGTTAGGTGAGCCGGCTGGCCCCTTTGCCAGCTGTTTGGACCCTTGGGCATAACTCCGACCTCTTGGCCCCGCTCTCCTTAACAATAACTATCGTAGGCGTTATAAGTCAGGCCCATAACTTGTCTCGCATGACTAGTATTAAGGTATAGCTAGTATATTAGAGTTATACAGGAGCTACGATTCATAATATGATTTGAAATACCTACTAGGTCTTTAGCTGATCAGAAGCAGCCTGTCAGAAGAGATCGGCGCTACTAAGGCTGTCGGACTTGGTTTCGTGTGCTTCGAATTCTCCATCCTAGGGATCGCTGTTTTATAAACGCTTGAACCTTAAACCCCCAGCTAACTTGGAGGTCCCTAGGAGTGCTAGAATTTGTAAGGTTTCATAGGAATAATACGTATTACGCAATAGTAAAGCCTGTATCCCACGTAAAGTATCAAAACGAGCTTATAGTGCTAAGTACCCCAACTACTGATAATAGTAGCCTAAACTTTACCAGATAGTCGAGTGATACTCTTAGTAAGCTACGAGCGCAGCTGGAAGGATAAGGCCAGGCCCTGAACCAAGGCTTTTCCAGCGTATCTTAATTAGAACACCAGACTTAAATCCCCGTGTATGACCTGCCTCTCTCACTAGGGCTTTCATACGTTGGTGGATTTGACCGTTAGTCTGCTCCCTCTATTAGATACTGTTAGGCAACAACCATCAATTAGGCAAGGGATGCCTGTGTAAGCAGGTCCCAAGGAGTCACACACACATACATCAACACAAGGATAACCCATCGCTACGCATTGAGGCCAAAGGAAGTTTCAATTTAGTATCAGGACATCCAGACCATCAGGATAGGGCTATATTAGCAGCTATATCAGGGTCTGGAAGAGGTATCTATATGCGTAAATACCCCCTTAGGTCTCACTTAGCCAGAAGAAGGGCATGCACATTTGTCACATCAATTCATTGCCCCTGATCACTTCCATATGCGCTCTCAAACACCCGTTTGAGAGATACCTATTTGCGACAGTTCTCTCACCAGCCGTGTGCCAGGAGGGTAGCCAGTTGATCCAGGCCCCAGCCAAGGGCGTAGCGGCAAAGACGGCCTCGAGGACGGCGACCTTGTCCTTTCCCAGACAGGTACGAGGTACGATGAGGCGGTAGTAGTAAAGCAGAGGCGACTCGCGCGGGTCATAGAGAGAGATAGGCTTAAGCGTGTAGTGGTCGGGGATGATGTCCTAAAATGTAAGGAGCACAAGCACGAGGACACAGAGAGTGAAGAGCGGGGGCCAATGATTGAATTGTTGATGAGCGCATTCAATACTGAGGAGACGGTATCTTTTTTTAACATCATAGCATCCTCAGTTTTTGACGGCTTACCTCCGAGATGTGTTGGAGGTCTACCTTCAGCTGGCGTGTGACAGGTTGCCTCCCTCTGAAGAGTTCGTCCCGAACGCCTGGGCCGCTGTTCCGACAGATCGATCGTAGTCCGCCAGGAACGTCTTGTCCAAAATCGCTTCGGAACACCCAAGAATTCTCCCCGTCCCCATGACCTTTCCATTTCACCAAATACCTGCGGCGACTTCGCAATCCACGACGATCAAGGATTTGTTCCTCGTCGTAGGTAGACTTTGCCATAGAAGGATAATCCTCGGGCTCAATTGGCGCTTAATCGCGGCTTCGGAAGAGTTCGGAGCTGCTGATTGGCAAGACGTTATAGATCCTGGCGGTTGACGGTAGGCGAAGTGGAAGTAACGCTCAGGTACACAAACAGCTGGGAGTGAAGAGAAAATCGAAAATCCGTTAGTGGCTCACCAACACTTATACTGAACCCGACTTACGCCGGAATCTCAGCAAAACCTTCACTTGCTTTACTTGGCGGGTGTTAGCCAGTCCGTGCCGTCAGGAACCTCGCAACCAATCCACAAAAACATCTTGCCACGGTCGTGTTCTTGATTGGTAGTGCCGGTACCCGCATCTACTTGTTTTAACCATCGCCAGTTTGCTCACCAATAGCAGCTTGCCGGCTGGTCCGCAATGGCTTGTTTATATGCCATCCCTCGGGGTATATATTTGAATGAGATGTTGCCCATGATAGCCCGGGAAGTAAAGGCAAGGCCAGCTAGCAGTGTCACCTATCCCCCCCGCACGTCCTCGGGCGCGATCCATACAGTTGTCCGCACCACCTGCCTGCGCGTTCTAGGTAGGGGTGGATCCACACTTGTGCGGACGGCCTCACGGGGGCGCATGCGAATAATCCCCCACTTTCGTGCGAACACAAAGGAAGTGTATAAAAGCTGGCGGTTTGCACGCCATTAAACTTGGCGTTCTGTTCTCGACTATCCCACGCAGAAGCGCGCAGAACAAACGAGTGGGCTGTGCTCCTAGGGCTACGGGTATATACTCATTAAAACTCAAGGAACGTTCGATATTCTGGAAGCTATGGATAGCTTCCTTGAAGAGCCTCCGGAGACAGTACAGGGGGGCATGGCATACCGCGTGGAATGCCTTGATCCCACCAACTGGCTTTACAATCAGACACTCGTCCAGGGGGGCTTGGGTGGTATGAAGCCTCGCGGCGAAAACCTCATCGGTGAATCGTCCAGGCAGACATCGGAGGTTCACTTGACGTGGGTTCACAAGCCTACGCCTTTGGTCTCCTTCTGGAGTTCCTGGAAAAGAGCGATTCATTGGAGGGGGTGGATGCTTCGCAAAGGGGCAAGAAATGTTGTCGTCGTAGCCGTTTGGCTGGATGGTATGTCGCGGGTCTACGATGCCTCGGAAATAGCCAAGTGGCTTGGTTTCACTAATGACTCGACGAGCAAGAGACGTCGGCTTGAACATCATCGTGATGAGTTTCTGGTCCACGGAGTCATCCCGGCAAACGAGCACAGAGTCCTTGCCTGCATCTTTGGAGATAGCTCGGACATGCAGCAGATGGCCCTCGTTTCACGGTGTGGAGGCCCTTCGGCGCCACGGTTTTGTGCCGCAGTCCCGCGGGGCGCGTTTTTGCTGCACCCGGACACGGATGACGCGATGGCGTGGCTGAGGGCGCAACTCGAGGGGGTCGATCGAGCTCAAGTAGAGGGGGATGTCAAGTTTCTCATCTTGGGTATGGCTCTGAGGGCCTACGGCTTGCAGCTCGCACCGTCGCCAGTGTGCTTGCAAGATGGGGAGGGAGGCTTGTGCTTGTTGTAACGCTGTGGGTTCGTTTGCGGCCCGTCCCGCGACCCGCAGTTCGGCGCCGGTGGAAAGCGGGGCAAGGCCGGCGCCGGAATGCTCGCTGCATGTTCTTCCATGCTTTACCCATTCCCATGCGCTTTTCCCTCTTGTTTCTTTGTGCTTTCAATATTACGACGAGAGATGTTTGGTCTTTTTTGTGTTCGTAAGTAATAAATGCACTCACATAGGCTGAAGTGGACCCTGTTCTAGGAGGATCGTAATAGTGGCTGAGGTGGATCATGACGGGTTATGTCTCGAATTAACGCTCCGAAGCGACTTGTGTTCTTGTCCCGTCTCCCTCGTGGGGACCTTGAAGGAAATGCGGGAGCATATCCAGCCGAACAACAAATTGGTTCCGCCCGAAATACACATCCGTGGCATCGGAAAGTCGATCACAAGTCTACCGACAACTATCTCGCTGGACAAGATGGGTACGCCATAATTACCTACAGCTCAAATGCACCAACAATCCCTAATACATTAGTAGTAGTGTGTCCAACGACCTCGGCCAAGACAAAGGCGCCATCGAGTAAATACGGGTGTATTCAAGGGGGCCAAGGGGTAATTACTGTACTCCGAACTGTGCTGTAGCTAGCTAATTGCTGGCTAGAATCTGACGAAGACGCCACCAGCCCCCGGTGGCCGAATAATTAGCCTACCGTCCAACGGTATGGACACGAAGTGCAATTACTGTACCGTCTGTACTTCACGCTGTCTGGATACCGCCAACCTGAGAGAAAATGCCTCATAGGCCGGCCACTCGCATCGGGAATAAGGCAGCATGGCGTGTGAGCTGAAGATGAAAGCATTGGCCACCGATACCAGCGCCATGCGCGATGCTTCATTTGAAACCGATGACCCGCTATTGAGCTTCCTGGCGACTTCAAACTTGGTTAGGAATGAATAGTTATATGACCGCATTTCAGGCTAACAATTCAGCGACGGCATCGGGCAACCCCGGCTTGTGCAGCTTGGCAATGGAAACACCCTGACCTCGCACAGCCACTGGGACGAGGAAAGAGCCGTCGGGTGGTTAATAACTTAATATGCCGCATTCCCAATCCGGCCACCTGGCCTTCCTTTATTATCCCTACTCCCTATCCCTACAGCTGCCAAGGATCTAAACCTGCTCTTTACTTATCACGACCTCAAGCACTCTCTGCATCTTACATCTCGGGATTTTGGCTTGAGGTTTGCAGTTTGTGTGGCCCCTAGTTTCATGGACCCCGCCGACGACTGCGCGACCGAGAGCGAGCCGTGTCTCTCGTCACCACATGGCCACTTTTCATCAGAACCATTGCCAGTTTATGTTAATATCCACCGGTAAGCAAAACTATTGACATCTTCGGTATGTATAGGCGGCTAACATGGTCTTAGCGTTAGACGCTTAGTGCTTGTGAGCATCGGTGAGGACTGAGGGAATGAATGACTTGCAGCCAGCGACAGGCTGGCTAACCTACCCATAGACGACCCATACACGATCGAGCATTTCCGCGAGCCTGCTCTAAACTCGCTCCTCGTGAGACCGTTAGTAGAAAGGCTCTACGACCCGCAGGACACCACCGTTGGTAAGCCCGTTATGGATGGTGTGATCCCTCCTGTACTGTGAGCCGCAGCCGAATAAACTTGCCAGTCTACTCCTTGCTCGCCAATCGAGTTTACTTTCTCCGGGAGCAGTCTGGCCTCGTTCATCAGAATGTCAACGTCGCCCGTGCGACGCTGTGCGAACTTGTGGCCAGTCGCGTCCTGCGTCGCTTCCACGAAGACAACCCCGGCCCCGCTGGACTTCTGCTTGTGGCGCACAACCTTCTTGACGGTCTTGATCCATTCCAAGGCGCCTCCAGCGACGTGGAACGAGAAGGGCGCCATTTGCAGTGGCCAATACAAGAGCGCGGCGGGCAGGAACGGAAGCTGACGGCACTCGAGCTGGCTATTCTCTCCGAAAGCAAAGCCTTCATCAGCTCCGCCGCTTGCCAGCGCGTCGTCGACGCTGTGCATAGCGGCCGGGTCATATATACGCCCTTGTCATTTGTTGATGTTCTTCCTGATCATTACAAGTACCGGCCCATGTCTCTTTACAACCCCCGGGACGCGCCGTTATTGAACCACTACCGATTAATTGTTCCACGCATCAGAGCGGTAGTCGAGCTGGTTCAGTACCTTGTTCTGCTTGCTTTCTACGTCTTGACAATGATTCATCGTCACAGAAACTTTAACAGATGGGAGCTTGTCTTCGCCATTTACACAGCGGGCTGGGTATTGCAGGAATTTGCCGCCATAATCGAGCACGGGTGGGAGGTTCACACACAGAACCTGTGGGCTTTTCTCGACATCACCTTCGTAATCATCTACTCTATATACGTTCCAGCTCGCCTCTATGATCTCAGCATTGGTCATCTCCACGATGGAATCGGCCTGCATATTCTCTGCATCTCTGCCCCGGTTCTACTCACCCGGATCGCGTTCAATCTAATGCCGCACAGCATTGTCTTTATCTCACTGCATGCCATGATGAAAGACTTTACAGTTCTTACCTTCTTGGCTTTGTGGTGCTTTGCCGGATTCCTCCTCGCCCTACAGTGGCTCAGTGCCATTGATTCGTCCAACAGCGAGTTTGCCCCGAGTTGGTCGACAGTTGGCAAGTGGTTGCTCTGGATCTGGTTTGGCCTGGACGGCACTGGCATCGAGGAATCAATAAACTTTCACGTTATCCTCGGCCCGACCTTGATGGTATCTTTCGCCTTTTTGGGTAACACCCTATTTTTAACCATCCTGGTTGCCATTCTTACCAACACATTCTCCACCATTATTGCCAATGAGGCAGCTGAGATCAGATTTCGTCGAACAGTTTTGACGTTTGAGGGTGTCAAGAGCGACTCAATTTTTGCGTATCCCCCGCCGTTCAATATCCTGGCGCTGGTCATCCTTCTTCCACTCAAGTTCGTGGTCACCAGCCGTCGGTTTCATACGATCAATGTGGCTGCCATCCGAGTTTTGAATGGGCCGCTTCTGCTTCTTGTCGGCGTTTTTGAGCGACAGCGGCTCTGGGCCAGACGCGCCTCGAGAAACAGGAGATCATTGCTAAGCTGGCATTTTTCAGGATTTTCTCCCCACGGGGATGTCCTTGCTGTGTTGAAATCGGAGCCACCAGAAGATGTCGTACGCAGATTCGACGAGCTTGACCCTCTGGATGAAGTACCGGTTCTGGAAGATGATGTCGTGTCGAAAATATCGGCCGATATACCCAGAGTTGGTGCGCGCAGATCCAGGATGTCGAGGTCGGGGCACCGCTCGAGACAACGGCCAATGCTATATGAGTTCTCCTTGCGTCATGATGACGGCTCGAGTAGACTGACTCCAGAAGAGCAACAACCTCCAAGTCAACTTGGACTGTATGGGCCTTATCAGGGGCCGCTTGTTCAGGCTCCTGAAAGCGGGCCGCTAGCTCCAACCGATGTTCAAGACGGACGGACATCGGAAACATAGAAATGCACCAAGTTGAAGCGTTTTTATTTATGAATATTTGACCACTGCGCAAAACTGCAAAGTAGCTGTGTAGACATCCCGCTTAAGCACGAATCGTTGGCGGGAATTGATCAAGGTTAACGGCGATTATCCAATATCACCAAACCACTCATTCACCTGTGGATTTGGCGGCTGGGAGGAGCCATAAATTTCTGTTTCGCTCAGAGGGACAAGGTACTGCACAGGGGCTGAGCAATCCGGCCGTCACACCGGCGCCCACCTCGGGAGACCTGGCCTTGCCCGTCCACACGGAAATTTCCAAGATGGCCAGCAGGACGAAGGACGTCAGTGGGTCGTCGACGACCCCGAAGCAGAACCTTTTCCCGGAAGCGTAGGATCCATTGCTCGCTGATTCCTCGGAATAGACGGGCGAGTAGCCGTGGCCCGCCTGCTCCTGCGAGAAGGGGGGGGGAAGGGGGAGAGTCGTTGCTCCTCACCCGTTCTCGTGCTAATTATTACCCTAACCACCGGCTCGCCTCTCCTCTTTTGCCGTAGGCCCACCACTGGTGAGAGGCAATAGAGGGGCCTGGCCGCAGTAGCCGCGGCTGACACGGCCGGCGTTTGTCTTTGCCTAAATAGGCAATGCCAACCATACAGTAATGTCAGCCATGTGGTTGGTTCCTCATTATCGCCCGCTCTCTCTAGATGTATGCGGCATTTGTTATTCCAGTTCGTGGGCCCCGAAACTCGACGTAGAGATGAGTCGGCAGACGATTAGCCCGAGCCAAATTACCGCACAGGAAGCCGTGTCACAGTACATCGTCAGCATGGCAATAAAGGGGAAGACGAGTGGGTGTCCTCACCGAGTCTTGCCCTCATGCTCTGGCCACACATCACCCATCGGCGACCGCCCTTTTGGACCGGTATCGTTCAGGTACTTGACATCATTTTCCGCGTTGCACCAACGTTCCAAACGCACTCGCTCGGCAACGACGTTGCATCCAACGTTGTGATACGCAGACTTTTACCGACGTAATTAACCCAGTCTTGGCGACCTGCACCTTCGTGTAACCGACATGGCCTCCGAAACGACTCCCGAGGCCGCCGACAACGAGGCCGTCGACCGAGACATGCGCATCACCTTCGATGACGGAGGTAATGCTCGTGCCGGCCGCGGCAGGGCTCCTGGCCGCGAACGAGGAGATGCGACTTCTCGATCGAGATCCCGCAGACACTCCTTGAGCCGGGCCTCGTCCGTCTCCCGCACTAGCCTTCCCACATCGCCTTACTCGGGCGTCCAGATTGAATACCGCACGCTATCCATCCATGTTGCCGAGTCTTGCAACATCGATACGGACGTGCCGGGAGACGCCAAGGCCATCAAGGACGACCAATGCTACTTTGCAAACATCAACTACCACGAGCTCAGCGTCGCCCAGATCTGCCAGCAGCTCAATGTCGCCAAGGACCAAGGCCTGTCGGACGGTCCGGCGGCCGTCAGACTCCAGCGCGATGGCAGAAACACGCTCCCCAGGGCCAAGACCAACTACACCAAGAAGATTCTCGGGTACGTCTTTGGCGGCTTCTGCTCGGTCCTCTGGATCGGCGTCATCATCTTCTTCATCTGCTGGAGGCCCCTGAGCCACCCCCCCTCCGCCACCAACCTCGCCCTCGCCATCTTGGTCATAATTGTCATCCTGCTCCAGGCCGGTTTCTCGGCGTTCCAAGACTGGTCGACCCAGCGGACCATGAAGTCGATTACCGATCTTCTGCCGTCTGAAGCCCTCGTGCTCCGCGAGGGACAGTTGAAGAAGATGCCGGCCATCGAGCTTGTCGCCGGCGATATTGTGCATCTCCAGATCGGCAACAAAGTGCCGGCCGATCTCCGCCTCCTGAGCCATTCTGGTGACATCAGGTTCGATCGCGCCGTCTTGACGGGCGAGTCGGACGAGGTTGAGGGTGCGGTTGATGTGACGGATCAAAACTTCCTTGAGAGCCGCAACATTGCACTGATGGGAACTCTGGTCGTGAACGGCAGCGGTGTCGGCATGGTCGTCTTGACCGGACCTCGATCCGTCATGGGCCGTATTGCCAAAGCTACAGCGTCTGCCGAGGAACGCCCAACCTTGATCCAGAGGGAGATTTGGCGTTTCGTCCGCATTATTGTCTGCCTGACAATCGTCCTTGCCTTGCTGATTCTCTTTACCTGGATCGGCTGGCTGAGACGCGACCACTTCGCGTACATGAACGTGGTTGCCATGCTTAACAACGTCATGGGATGCGTCGTCGCCTTCATCCCTGAAGGTATGCCCGTGGCAGTCGCGCTTACCCTCATGATGGTTGCGCGCCGCATGAAGGCTGTCAGCATCCTGCCCAAGGGCCTTTCGACTGTCGAGACGCTCGGCTGCGTCAACGTCATCTGCTCCGACAAGACCGGCACATTAACGCAGAACCAGATGCATGTTAGCTCGGCATCGTTCGTCGACGAGGTAGTTGCGCTGCCAAACTTTCACCTCAACTCAGATGGCGAAACCACAGAGGCGTGCATCTTGAAGTTGTATCAAGCCGCTTTGCTCTGCAACGACGCGACCTTTGACCCGGCCTCCCTCCACTTGCCTGTCGCCAACCGACAGGTTCAAGGCAACGCAACTGACGCTGCGGTACTCCGGTTCGCCTCGACAGTGAGGAACGAAAAGGAGGCGACGACGCTACCGCGAGTGTTCCAGGTTCCGTTCAATTCCAGGAACAAGTGGATGCTTACCATGCACCGCGAGCCTGAGACGGACGAGGCCACTAAGGAATACCGCGTCTTTGTCAAGGGCGCCCCCGACGTGCTTCTGCCTGCTTGCACCAAGTACTGGTCCCGCAAGTCGAACTCGGTTCAGAATATGGACGACTCCGCCAGAACTTCCTTTAAGAACTACCAGGACACGCTGTCGAAGAATGCCGAGCGCGTTATTGTTCTCTGCGAGAAGACTATGATTCCTACCCAAGCCTTGAACACCAATGCCTTTAGCGACGAAGTTGTCCGCAATGCCATAAGCGAACTCACCGTGGTTGGTATTCTTGGAATCATTGATCCTCCCCGACCCGAGACGGCAGCGACCGTCGCCGAGTGCCGCCGCGCTGGCGCAAGATTCTTCATGGTCACTGGCGACTACGGCCTCACGGCTGCCGCCATCGCTCGCAACACTGGCATCTTCACGGGAGAGGCGGATCCAGATACGGCGGAAATGATAAAGTCGAACTTGGGGATGTCGGCCGAGGCGATGCGCCAGGCACGAGCAAGCGGTGACCGAACTAGCTTGCTGCTTGAAGGACCCTCGTTGGCGATCTTGACACCAGATGACTGGAACATTGTGTGTGAATATGACGAGATCGTCTTCGCACGCACGACGCCTGAGCAGAAACTGCGCATTGTAAACGAGTTTCGCAAACGAGACAATGTCGTCGCAGTTACTGGCGACGGCGTCAACGACGCACCGGCCCTCCGGGCAGCTGATGTTGGTGTCGCGATCGTGACCGGCAGCGATGTGGCCATCGAGGCCGCAGATCTGATCCTGCTGGACAAATTCGACTCCATCGTCGAAGCTATCCGTCTGGGCCGTCTCGTCTTCCAGAATCTGCAAAAGGTCATTGCCTATCTGCTCCCGGCAGGTAGTTGGTCCGAGATCTGGCCCGTGCTATTGAATGTCTTCTTCGGCGTGCCGCTGCCGCTGAGCTCGTTCCTCATGATCATCATCTGTGTCTTCACTGATCTTTTCCTGTCGCTGTCGCTGATAATGGAGAAGGAGGAGTTCAACCTTCTTTCGCTGCCGCCACGCAACCACAAGCGAGACCACCTCATCACCGTCAAGATATACATCCAGGCGTACCTGTTCACGGGAACCATGGAGACGGTCATTGCGCACGCCATGTTCTTCCTTTACTACTGGAAAAAGGCCGGCATTCCGATTGGGCAGATGTTCTTCTTGTTTGAGGGGTACTCGGAAGGCTTTCATGGATACTCGGCGAATGACCTGACGGCGTTCAACGCGACAGGCCAGTGCGTCTACTTTGTGACGCTGGTTATTCTGCAATGGGGCAACATATTGGCGGTGCGAAACCGTCGCCTTAGCATCTTGCAGGCCGATCCGTTCACCAAGAAGAGGCGGAACCCATGGCTGCTTCTCAGCATGGGGGTCAGTCTTGTCATTGCCATCTTTGTCACGGAGGTGCCAGGCATACAGACTCTGTTCGGCACGGCGTCGGTCCCCATTGAGTTTTGGGTCATTCCGATCCCGCTGGCGCTTGCGGTGCTCTGCATGGACGAGATCCGGAAACTGGTCGTCCGCCTATTACCGAACGGACCCGTGGCCAAAATAGCTTGGTGACGGAATCTTTTTCTGGAATCCCGGATCACAACACAGACATGGCGGGCAGCTGCGTTGAAGTAGATGAACAAACAACATTATATTCACGAGAGGGATCATAAAACAATTACTATAAAAGAAATAGAGCGCGATGGTTTAATTACCTACGAGCACCTAAAGTGTAAAGAGGCCGATCTAAAGCTAAAGAGTCTCGATTATTTCCGGGATCACGTCGCGAGGGTATATGGCGTTACACTTAGGGCTTCCCAGCGGTAGCGTGCCGCTTTTGTAGATCTATATTTCCGCTTGTTGGGTTCAATTTTACTATCGTGCTTGATTATACTCTATGATTGTCTTAGAATAGGGTGCAATCACGATGAGCGCCGTTGCTTCAGCGACTCAGTTAAGCTGATACTAAGTCGACGCCAGGTTCGCCATGCTAGTCAGCGTCGAGGGATGCTCCTCGCCTAGCACCTTCTTACGGGCCTTGACAGCATCCACGCAGTGTTTCTCTGCGTCACCCTATGTTCCCTCGAAATCTAAGTAGCTAGCCACGCAATGGAGCAGCGATGCCTTCGCCTTCACATCATCTCCTAGCCCGCCAACCTCAATATCCAGCACAGCGCGTGTTCAACGTGCCCCGAATCGCCGTGCGTCTCAGTCAAACTGGGTGTGTTCAGCGGTGATGACGCATTTATAGGCGGCGGGATCGATTTTGCCGCGGACGGTCGCTGGGACGTCTCTGGCTCCGAATCGGTGTCTATGTTGTCCCATTTTGAGTAATCGATAGGAGGCATGAGATTTGATAGATTGCGCCAGTAGTTTACTACACCGGACTTCGCTTTTCGCTTTATATCTTGAGGTGATCTATGGACAGGTGCAGAAGGACACAAACGCTGACGCAACGAGACAAGGCCTTGGATCCGGATTCCAACGCTCCCTGCATTGGTGCCTGCCGCCCTGCAACCCCACCCGCCGTTCATCAAGGCATTGGCGGGCTCCGGAGGGGACCGGTCTCCTGTATTGGCCGCCATGGACTGCTGGTGGTGCAACCATGGTTGGGCGTTGTGACTCTATACTAATCCGTAGCCTTGCCTGCGAAGCCACCTTCTTCGTCTCGCCACTCTCCGTTGACTTTCCTAAACACTTTGCCCCTTGATGTGATCCACTCCCTGTTACCACCCCATCTACCTGCTGGCAGAACCGAGACCCAGCGCCCGTCACTGCCCTTGTAAGGCTGTACCTTTGGAGCTGTTTCTGTCCTGCTAGGAGCGTCTTTAGACTCCTTGGCCTTGCCTGCAAATCCACCTTCTTCGTCTCGCCACTCTCCGTTGACTTCCCTATACACTCTGCCCCTTAGAGTGATCCACTCTCCGTTATTACCCCATCCACCTGCGGGCAGCACTGAGACCCAGTGCCCGTGACTGCCCTTGTAAGGTTGTACCCTTGGGGCCCTTGCATTCATGCCAGGAACGTCTCGGGACGAGGTTGTCTTTAGTGCAATGTCAGCGCCAACTATTGGATAGATCGATCACCTTGTATAGCATTTGTTGCTCACCGGTTCCGTCATATCTCCTTTTGCGTTCTGATGATATTGGCGATATCTCCAGACGGGGTATTAGTCGCTTGTTGGCCGAATTGGCTCTGCTTCTATTCTCTGTCGTCCTCTAATACGTTAGAAATGGTTGTGTCACCGAAAGTAATCCGACAGAGGTCAGGGCAGATGTTCAGTTTTGGGGTGCTTATAAGTAGTTATTGCACGACCTAAGCTGTGTTCACTCTCCATCTAGCCCGTACTTAATAACAAGTGCCGTATCATCTCCAAGTTTCTTGGTTGTCATTAGCAGTCTAATCTTCGTCATGCACGCATCTCTGCTCCAATCCGAAAAATACCTCATGTATATCTACACCTTCCCCGGCAGGCTGTCCGCAAATCAAATTCTTCTGCCGTCACAAGTTGTTGTTTCTGCATGAGCTGAGGTGCTTCTCTAAAATCGGGATTTGTTTGAACCAGCCAAATGCAAAACAAAACGTCTCCTCGCAACCACAGACTGCGATCCTCCACGAGATGGTCTGTTCCCGGGCTGGCTGCCCTAATCACCTCTCGATCTCTTGTGGGAGTAAAGTTCGATTCAATCTTTTGTGCCTCAGCTTTCGTCCTCTTATAAATGACTACTGGTTGGCCATGAACAACCAAGGCCCCTCACATGTATAGCTTTGATCCCCTAGAGGACAAAAGTTTCCTCGTCTAGGTCCTGTCAAACACAGGCTATGTGCACCACTTGCAGCGTCAATTGCTGGAGTGTGCATTCCATTTTTGCCTGCATGGTGCAGTGGGCAATGTGACAGGTCCTCTAAACTAATATGTCTACGTCTCCAATCTCTAAATAGAGGGCATGAGCTGAAAGCCATAGTGGTGGCCTATTGGCAGCTTGAAATAGGCTCGCTAAGCCGTTTAAGGAGCTGAAGCTACTTTGTAGTGAGGCGAGCGACGTGTAACCAATGACGACGGCAGCAATGAATGCTAGACCCTGCGGCCCAAGGTTGATCGTGTGCCCGCTGGCATACGATTCCTACGTGGATCAAGGAGCTCCAATGCTTTTCCACACTTCTACATGCAGAATTCAAGGCCGCAATATTCTCAGCAAGTGGACGATTCAACCAATGCAACTCGGGGTGAATTGCAATTCTCACTCTCACATTACCTTGCTAAGAAATAGGTATATCATTTCCGAGAATCGCCCTCTCCTATTCATATCTCCTTTAAACACCATTCCTGACTGCCTAGCCACATAGCTATCACAGTGCCGGAAGCAACACCTGCCAAAAAATCTCCTGACCATGCTCTGTGCCACATGCTCAACCTCATGCAATGGCCTTTTGACACTAGCAAAAGGCCTAAAGACTTCCGGCACGGGAGCAAGCTCAAGACTAAGAACAGCTAGCCAAACAGCAGGCGAGCTCCTCAATGGCGTCGACCTCGACTGCGATTTGTGCTGGATGTTCTGGGCTACAGCACCTAAAGGATACCGTGATGGCGTATGGGCTAATTCGCTTGAGGGCCCCTTTGTCTGTCATTATGATATTTCAGCCATGACCGATTTGGACCCTGCGAGTCCCGATCTGAGACTATCATTAACTCGCTACTATAAGTCGTTTACTCCAAACGAAAGGGGTGGTCTTGATCGTGATCCGAAACGCACTGCTCTCAAGAGATATATGATTGTTCCAGCCAAAGGTATGTTGATCGATCAGCCTTATTTGGCGTATACTGTTGCTGAACTGCCTGATGTATGTACTTACTATCGCAGATGCCGATTCCTTGGTGCCTGGTGTTGATACCACGCGGACGACGCGCAGCACGGGATCCTCGGGGGCACAAATGAGACAATGGCTGCAACGGTGCACGAAAAATCACCATCGATGTAGAAAGCCAAACACTAGAAGATTACAATTTCCTTCAAGGCTACTGGCCATAGAGTCGGATACTATTAAGGTGATTTCAGTTTTCTTCAATAACCCATTGCTCTGCTTCAAGATCATTTCCACGACAAGTCGATAAAGTCACCTACCCTGTCATCACCAAGCCCAGTTTTCTAACAACCAAAAAAAATCATCAACGTTAACTCTCCTCATCAGGTCCAAGACACTTCCTACATCGACCCATCCGAAAAATACGCCACGCTGAGCCACTGTTGGGGCGGTGTAAAACAGCCCGTCCAACTGACCTCATCCACAATGAGAGTCCTAAAAGAGGGTATCCCAATCACTAAGTTGCAACGAACATTTGCCGACGCAATTCTCGCCACGCGAAGCATTGGCCTGAAATACCTCTGGATAGACACATTATGCATCATCCAGGGCTCAGATGATGACGCAAAAGATGACTGGCGGACCGAGGCCATGCACATGGGCGACATCTACGAGAACTCCCTGTGCACCATCGCCGCAACACATGCCGCCAACTCCACCGTCGGGTGCTTTATAGAACGAGACCCGCGGCTGTTGAAGCACTGCAAACATTATCCCCCAGTGGCACTGCGTCTAGGCAATCATAGCCAAGTTTACATCCTCGACGAAGAACTTTGGGAGTCAGTGTCGATGGGCCCGGTAAATTCTCGAGCGTGGGTCATCCAAGAGCGTCTTCTTTCGCCCCGAATCGTCCATTTCTGCGCCCAGCAGCTCTTCTGGGAGTGTGCCGAGCTGGGGGCCTGCGAGAGCTTTCCGGCCGGTCTGCCAGCACAATTTATGGAACAGCCGCCTAGTGGCGCCAAAATACCCGTAAACGAGTTTAAGGCGCTCTTGACATTGTCCTTGTCGCCCGAGGAGTCCTCCCCCTCTGAAGCCTACCGTCACTGGACCCGCATCGTCGCCAAATACTCACAATGCGGCCTGACCTATGTCACCGACAAGCTCATCGCCCTCACTGGCGTTGCGAAGAAACTGCAACCAGCTCTGCACGACACATTTTGTGCCGGCCTTTGGAGCAATCATCTTCTGCACGGGTTAACGTGGTACATAGACTCCCTACCAGGGCCCGGGGAGCGAGGAATTCGAGCTGGACAGTACCGCGGGCCGTCATGGTCGTGGGCTTCGATAGAAGGGGAGATCAAGTATCCGGATGACATTGAACAGGACGGGGCGACTGAGGTGGTCAAGTGTGAGGTGCTTGGCGTGGATGAATTGGGATTTGGGCAGCCAAGGGAAAAGGCCATCCTAGGGCTCAAAGGACCGATGCAGAGTCTGCCGAGAGCGAAACGGGAGCTGAGGGCTCGTCACCATGATGATTGCAGGCGGAGGGGCGGAAGGATGACCAATTTAACCCTGGACTTCTGCTGGGATGAAAGTATTAGGAGCGAGGACGATGGGTCGATATTCGTCACCCCGGTCAGGCGAGCAGCATGTTTGGGGGGAGGTTGCATTTTGTATGGACTGCTTTTGGAGAAGGATCAAGGGCGAACAGACAGGTATAGGAGGATCGGTTTGTTCAGCACCACGGGAAATCGGGGCGATAGTCATTTGGATATTGGAGCTCAAGGTGTGGTCCGGTCTTTTGAGATTATATGATGCATATCTGGGATGAAATCATTCTTCAAAAAGAAAACCTCCATTTCTGCCTGAATGTCTGTGCCCTGTGTCTTGGCAAAGTCGAGATCACCGTACGCCATGCAAGACAAAGGCAGTCATGAATGCGCAACGACAGCCTTCTTTCCTGTAAGAGAGTGGTGTCTTTGTATATTTGGTAGACGGAGAGGAGTACGCCCCTGAGCAAAAAGGAACAGAATGGAGATTGGGCTCCAGAGACTCGGTCTCCTCAGTCGCATCACTCCCGCCCTAGTCATGGTGACGATTGCCCGACCCGTCACTGCTCTCGCCAGATCCGCATGGCATGAAGCTCCTGACATGGTCGCGAATAAGCATATGGACCTGTTCCTTGAGATCTGCCCAAACGCCAGTGCTCCTGCCTTGCGAATGCTTCTGGCCTTCAAACCAGTTAGCCTTAGTCGAGTAGGACTCACTTCAGGATACATGCCAACTTGTTTAGGTTCGGAAGAGTCCTCCCCTCCGGAAGACGTATCGCGACAAATTCAAAACCGCAACATTTTTTGGCCCGCTGTTACACTCTACGTCGCATCAACATCAGAAGCTGAGCCCGTAGATGCTGCGCTTGTCCGCGTGCGAGTTATTCTCTGCTTTGGTAAATCAAATGATCGGTTGGAGCCGTCGATGAACCAGTTTCTGGATGGGCGAATTGAAAGTAACGTACGCACTCTGGCTTGCTGGAGGCAAGGCACGTCAGCTCAATAACAGCGTTTCCCCGAGGCCACGTACTATGTGGAGCTCTCTCTTAGGGTTTGTCTTTTAGGCTCGTCGGCAACGGAAATGGATAAATCAAGGCCCAAGGATCTATCGATGCCAACAGACCTCGTAATAGCCGAACAGGTTCTCTTGCGAGGCGTCCCGCTAGAGTGGTACGACTTTACCTACAAAACTCTTCGTATGCTTGGAAGTATTGTTAAGGGGAACATCAAGACGGTCAATGTCGATACGGCCAGGTGTACTGTCAAGTTATTGCCTGGAGATACAGCTAGTATCATCTTAGTGCTGAATGTTGACAGTCAAAAGCCCTAGCAGTTGTCAGCCGAGATCGAAGCTCCGCAACCGTCTACGGACTAGGACCGTTTGAAATTAGAATCTTGCACGAAAGGTCAATAAATTTTGCTTAAGCTATCTTTCTCTTCAACCTGATATTTCGTTAGACTCTCTACCCTCTGGCCAACTTTATGACAGCCTGACCAATAGTAGGCTAGATAATATTAAAGGGAAGCCATAGTTATACCGGCATTTATATTGAAGCTGTACCTATTATATAACGCAAGTGGTTATTATATATAGCTCCTATAAAATCTTGGGCGGCGAAGCGCATTAAGCCTACCAAACGACAATTAGGCAAAATAGGATCGTCCTAACATCTTGTAACACCAGGGATTTTAGAGTTATAGGAAGCGAGAAGTAGGTACTTACCGCTTTTAAAACAAAGGAAGATTAAGACTTATACCAAGCCAATGGTACTAAGGCAACTTCAACTTAGCAACTTTGACTAGTATTCCCATGGCAGTAAAAATACTGTAAGGCAAAAGCAAGATAAGCTCTTATGTTTCGTGCTGAGTACTAACTCCTAGATTCAACAATTCAAGACGACAGGTTCAAGACTATACAAGCTGGAGTGTAGTACGACTGCGGAATCACCCCAGATGGCCATTTTTGCGCCAGAAAGCTAACTTAATTCACCTTTAGAGCTTTGGGACTCACCATCTGGTTTTCAGAAATGACAGGATCTGTCCTGCTCTATCTCGAACCGAGGCATGTTTCCACCAAAGGAGGGTTGATGGTCGATAGGGAGAAGTTCGCTTTCTCCTTGGCGACGAAACCCCACACTGCTCTATCTGCCGTGACCTTGGAAGCCTTGAATGCGTACGTCGGGCTTTTAGCCCCATCTTCATGTTCTAGGGGGCTCTAATCTTTTTCAGAAGACGCCTTCTCTGCACCGGCGGAGGAGAGTTGAGGGCCCAGAATTGCGATGGAAGGAGACGTGACCACCACACGTTTACGGCCGGAGAGGTCTTCTCAATTGCCCCAAGGGCGCCAGCCGTGCCCAAAACTGCCGGATCAATGAGAGCTTTCTTTACGTCTTTGACATTATAGTGAAACTGAAGTACGTTAGACCGCGGGGATTTCGGCTCGGTTATTCGGCGTCTTACCGGACTAGCCACACGAATGAACTAAAGTCTCCACGTTGTGAGTCTCCAGACTCTGAAAAGCTCCCGGGGCGGCAATCTCTGGGATGACGATCAATTCAAGTTTGTCTCGCGCCGCGCCTTGATGAGCACTACGGAATGTTTCAGCGCTCTCTTGCGACCAGACGGCCGCCACCACGGAGTGACCATGCCTTTTCGACCAAACTCACGGAGTAATGTGAGCACTTCAAAGGCGCCCCGCCGAGGGGCTGGCCAAGGGGTACTTGGTCAAGAATGCTGCTCGAAGCTCAGTGCGAGGCAAGAATGCCACTCAGGGCCTCGAGGGAGGGTCTGCAACACCCTCGAGCGGTTTAACCAGCCCTGGTTAGGCCAGGTGCGGAGGGATAACTCATCTAACTAAATTGACGTTTCTTGGCTAGCTTACGGACCCGGGTTCAGCTTTATCTGCAACACGTGCAGCATCGTTAGTCAGACAAAGCACCATCAGCCATGAGATGGCATGCCGGCTCATCATCGCCGGCCGGCTGGTGATGTCGCCGTTTAATCCAGACCCATGGAATGCGGTCTGCTTGTCTGGTACTGTCTAGCTGTGGCTGAACAGGTAAAGTGTGTTTGTCGACTTCGCCTGCGACGACGATAAATAACCCCGGGAGCCTCGGCGGACCTTTGACTTCTCTCTTAGTTGGCATCCATTCCAGGCCTGCAAGTTTTGCTAAATGATGCTTCCAAAGCTTTTATTAGCAGCCCTTTGGCTGGGGTTCTCGGCTAGAGGGTGGGTGCTAATTGTCTCCCCTGCTAGACGAAACGCTGACTGGGAGTAGCGCCTTCGTAACAGAAGTTCATGAGTCTGCCTACTATGACTATATCATTGTTGGCTCCGGTGCGGGAGGCTCGCCGATGGCTGCGCGGTTGGCTAGGTATGGACACAGAGTGTTGCTCATCGACGCTGGGGACGACCAAACAAATACGCCCGAGTACCAGAATCCCGGGTTAAACTTGAAGGCCTCGGAGCATCCTCCCATGTCATGGAACTTTTTCGTACACCACTACTCGGATGAAAACCAGCAAATAAAGGACGACAAGATGAGCTGGGCGATGCCGTCGGGCCAGATCTACGTCGGCAGCAACCCTCCCCAGGATTCCAGACCGATGGGAGTTCTTTATCCCCGGACAGGAACTTTTGGAGGCTGCACTGCCCACAACGCCATGTTGACCGTATATCCCCACGAGTCTGATTGGAACAACATTGCCGAGATGACGGGGGACCAAAGCTGGTCGGCGGAGAATATGAGAGCCATCTTTGAGAGGCTTGAGCGAAACCGCTATCTGCCATCCAAGCCAGCTGGGCATGGCTACGAGGGCTGGCTGACCACAACCATCTTCCCAATGGCCATTGCTCTGAAGGATTCAAAGGTGGGGGCAATGGTGGCGGCTGCTCTAAACTGGCGGTATCTAGACGCAAGAGACGTGGCCCGGCTTTCTGAGCGCGATTTGAACGCATACACCCCAGACCGTGACAGTTGCGAGGGGATTTTTCAGATGCCAATCTCTGTCACGGAGAAGACGGAACGATCGGGCCCCGTCGACTCTATCAAACAAGTTCTAGCCGATGAGAGGTCGGGCCGTCTATCAAGAGGTCGGGTGGATATCCTCCTCACCACGCTTGTCACACGCATTATTTTCGACTCAGAAGACACATATTCTGCGACGCCAAAAGCGATCGGTGTTGAGTATGTGCGAGGGAAGAGCCTCTACCGCGCCGACCCGCGCGCATCGTATTCTCGCGACTTACCACCCAGGCGTAAAATTCTCGCCAAGCGAGAAGTAATCATCTCCGCCGGCGCCTTTAACACGCCTCAGCTGCTGAAATTAAGCGGCATCGGCCCTAGAGACGAGCTAGAGAGATTGAGGATTCCCGTTGTTGTTGATCTCCCGGGTGTTGGCACCAACCTGCAGGACCGGTACGAAAACACAGTTGTTACAGGCAGCGCTCAAAACTTTTCTTCTAGATTTGCTGTTGCGTTCCTAAAGAAATCTTCGGTAGCAGAGGGAGGTGTTCCCGACCTCTTCATCACAGGGTCGGTATCCAACTTCACTGGTTATTTTCCGGGGTACTCTAAGATGGCGACAGGGGACCCTTCGAGGTGGTCTTGGATCGTGCTCAAAGCCTATACGAGAAATCACGCTGGAACTGTCAAGCTCCGCTCCCGTGATCCTCGCGACATGCCGATCATTAACTTTAACTACTTCGATTCGGGGACGAACAGTGAGGGCGAGGCTGACAAGGACGCCCAGGCCTTGCTAGAGGGGGTTGAATGGGCTCGGACTGCTTCTCGAAGAGTCAACGACGCCGGTGTTGGCGAATTCTACGAGGACTGGCCAGGGGATAGCGTGCAGTCGTCTCGTGATATGAGGCGTTTCATTAAGAAGGAGGCCTGGGGCCACCACGCTTCTTGCACGTGCCCTATCGGTGCCGACGAGGACCCGATGGCCGTATTGGACTCTAGCTTCCGCGTTCGAGGGGTAGAAAGCCTGAGGGTTGTTGACGCAAGCATCTTCCCTAAGATTCCAGGATTCTTCATCGCACTACCGATTTATATAATTAGCGAGAAGGCAGCCGATGTTATTAACGCCGACTCCCGGGACTGGTACTGAGGGCACGGTCTCCTCCGCTAGGGGTGTCAGAAGAGACTAATTATCTATTAAAGGTTCTATAGTTATATCAACCCCTATTAGCTATATCTATAAGACCTAACCTTCTTCTCCTTTCTGTAACTAAATATCAATAGCACAGTTCACTGTTATTATAAGAGCCTATATATACATAAATAATAAGGGGTTTCGCCCAAGGTTACCTTGAGTCTTATTTCTATACTTACTTTCCTACTATTATGTCTTATATACTACTATCCCCGGAAACTCGTCAAGTATTACCTCCCAAGTTACTAAAGTAGGGAGCTCAACAGCTGAATATCTAGCTTCAGAAGCTGTATGTCTTGATCCGGTGGGCAAAACTAGTGGTCCCGCTACTAAGAGACCACTCAGTCGCAGCAAGGGCAAGGCGTGGCATGCAGCAAAGGAGAGCGAAATTGACTAAGCAACAGCTTTATCAATTGACCATCACCACACATAGAAGGCTTGGTCCAACAACCAAGCAACAACAAACAAGGGCCAGCCCCGTGACAAAAGCAAATCCTCTATATATATATATATATGCATACATCTATATGCATACATCTATATATGATTTAACCTTTTGAAAGATGATTTTTTAAAACTACCACAGGAAATCTGATATATAGGACCAGTTTGAGGTGTTACCCAGGCAAACTATAGATAAACTATAGTAAAGTACCATTGTCTTTACTATACGTAGCAATTAGCTGCTCTGCTGTGTGCTATAATCGCTGCCATTATGTTAAATCGCTACTGCGAGTGATCTCCTAAGTACTAAATGGAAGGGTTGATAACTAAGGCAGCAAGATAGCTACTTAATTAAGGGGAAACCGAGAAGGTGTTGGCCGAATAGAGGCTTGATGTTGGTTAAATAGTAATATTGTATACCACAGGTATACGGTATTTACCCTCTGGGTTTAATATCCATCCGTTAGCTGCCTTGCACTGGCAACCTAACGGGTGTTCGACGTGTTTATTACATACATATTTACATTTTTATTATAGGCCGAGGAGATCCGTGTCCCACTCAGGCATTTGCACCCAATCTGTCTAGGGTTCCGTTCTGTCAGTCCTGATTCTTCTCGTCCCCCTGCTGTATCGATGTCTGGTCTTCTTGACTCATATGTATTGTGCTCTGCACATCGGAGTATGGTTCGAATAGTTTCCTTGCGGGTCCGGAAAGCACAAGGAATGCAGGATACACCATAGCCGCAGCCAGCACTGCGATAAGAACGATATAGGCGGTTTGCACGGCGCCGCCCGCGTTCATGATGCCATACATAATGAACGGGACAACTGCAGGTCCAGATTCGCCCATTGTGATCAAGGCGACAGCCCGTGTTGTCCTCCGGCCCTGACCGCGTAGGCCAAACGCGAATACCAGGGGCGAAATAGGGGTCTCGGCGGCGAGCATGAGTATCAAGGGAAGAACAAACTTGCCGGGATTAGATGGTCGTAACACCACGCGGACGATAGATAAGACGACACACGCGCCGACGCCGAAAATCAGGTATGTGCGTGGCCTCGGCAGCCAAGGAATAGAGACTGAAAGATATGCAAGATAACCGAGGATAAGGCTGCAAACAGTATAGGCCGCGCGTCCTACGAGTATGCAATCCGACATGGATAGAGTCATACCCGACAGCTTATCTGGGTCAGCAGGTTCTCCGACGCCAATCGCGTCCTTGGGAACAGCTGCCTTAAAAAGTTTGTCATAGAAGGCGAAGTTCGACCCCTGAGCCGCGGCAAACATGTATTGCGTAAACACAGCCAGTATCAGGCTTACAGTTCGCAGCTGTAAGCCGCCGACGACTTTCTTTTTCGGGTCGACCTGAAGGCGGGTTGGCAACTCCTTAAGCTCGTCGTCGCTTACATCTGGCAGGGGCACATAGAAAAAGAAGAGCCCGAGGATGGCGCAAAACAAGGTGATCCCAAGGTACACCCACTGTACGTTAACAAGGGCTGCTTTACCAGACGTGTCGATTCCCTTGAGGAAAACCTTTTGCGCCAGAAGGCTGTTGGTAATGCTGCCGGCACCCTGAATGGCCTGAGCTATAAGAATCCGCGTCTCGGCGTAGTTGGGCGGTCCGCAGAGGACCATGAAAGAATTCGAGCCGACTTCTATGACTGCCAACCCGAAGCCGATGAAAAAGTTGCTGATCATAAACCCTGCATATGAGCTCGTCACTGCTGACGGCCAGAACGAGATGGTGCCTATGCCGTAAACGCAGAGCCCAACGATGAATGTCTTCTTGTACCCGCTTATGTTGTCGGCCTCGTACGCGCGGCTCTTGAAGAAATGTCGGTCTTGTAAGAGAAACTCGCCCGCTAAAAGCGGACCGAAGAAGTAGCCGATCCCAGAGTATACGGTGGTCAAGCCGATGTTTTGGGCCGTCGAGATGTTGTTCACCGTGGCAACAGCGATGTTGACGTTATCGAGAAGGCCATATGACATGCCGGAAAGGAAGAAGAGAAGAGAAACAATGGCGCAGTACTTGAAGGATTCTGCCGCGTTGGCTCTAACCATGCCCTTTGGTTCGTTTGTCTTGACGAAACCAAAGGAGGTGCCGGATTTCATAGTACCAGTCGTTGAGCTAGTCGGATTGGTGCGCCCGGCCGCTGCAGACGTTGCAGGGGTACTGTCGAGATCCTGAAAGTCATTGCCGAAATGCACCGTGTCAGGGGTTGACGGAGACTCCGTGGTTGTTCCCGTGGACTTCTTGTCTGACTCTGTCGGCTTGCATTTTGTTGTTTGATACAACGGCTCTTGAGACTCGATTGGTGCCCCAGAAGACGTTCGGGTGCTGTTGGGTTCGTGCAATATATTGGGGAAGAGCTTGAGGATAAGCGGCTTAATGGTGGGGATGCTGGCACAGGTTATACCGATATTGACCTCGACTGCGCTCCACATCAGAGAGAAAGAGGCGTCGGGGGAGATGAGAGCCTGGCCGCTAACCGAAGAGAAATCTACCAAGTCCTCTTCAGAGCTTTCCGAAACGGCATATTGCAGGTAGTAAATCCTGACGACCCCGATAACCGAAACGAAAGCACCCAGGGCAAAGGCCAAAATAAGAATGACTTTTTGCCGCATGGGTAGACGCATGCTAGTCAGGACAGGGATGGGCAAGATAAGAATTGCCAAGTCGGTTATGATGTTGACCGGCGAGGCGCATATAAACTCGATAAGAAGCGGGATGCAAGACGCACTACTATTGTAGAGTTCTAGCATCCAGCCAGCTCGGACCGGCCTGCATTGGAAGATGTTGATAATAGTAAGGATGAATCCTGCGATATTAACTATCCCCAGTATGACCCATGAGGCGTGGCGCAAGAGCAGGCGGGTATTTTTAGTGACACGGAGGTAAAGGACCAAGATGCTGCTTTTGGTGGCCATGAGGGCGGGGTTCTAAAGGCCCTCGTATGTTAGTATCGGCCGCGTTCCTCTTCGGGGTATTGAACCCGGACGAGTCGACTCAACTAACATATAAGACGGAGAACACATAGTCACACTTGTGCAGAATGCTCATGTGGTGGTCGGTAATATCATCTTCACTTCTTCCCAAGCCATGAAAGACGCCGAAATCGACTATAAATGAGAGGAAGAAGGCAAGCAGCCAAGCCAGGATGACAACCTTGTCATCCCAGGTGACATTGCGGACGATGAAATATCGGCAGATAAAACGGGCGCCAACTAAGATGGTTGCGAGGGCGATGGTTGCAGTGGTGACCGCGAAAACGACGAGACTGCGACCATGAAGTTCTCCATCTGAGTTTATGGCGGCGACGCCCATGGCCGGGACAACATTCGCAACGCGAGTCAGCGGCGTGACCGGGAGGTGCTGACGATGTGTGACGTCGGGGCGGCGTGGCTGTTAAGAGGTCGAGCTGGGTAGTGCCGGCCAAGGGGCGTTGATGGGGTTGGATGAATACTGCGCATGGAAGATATGAGAGTCGACGAGCAACTTGGTTCCGACGTGCGATGGCCTGGTGCCTTTAGAGCTGGAAAGGCTGCCGAGTCCAATGAGGGGGTGGGTGCTGAGACAAGTGGCCACGAAGACGGGAACGGAGGGCCTCCAACGTCAAGTTATATGCATAGTAAATCACTTTAGTATCAGAAAGAGACAGACATACATCGGAAAGAGGGTAGAGGAGAAGACAAGCGTGAGAAGGCGATGGATTCCCCAGCGAAGAGCTAGTGATGGCAACGGCGCCAATTCACCCCAGATTTGGGGTCTCCGAAGCTTCCGTGCAGGAGATAGAGGCGAATAATTGCTCCTGTCACGGGAGAAAAAGCTACCTTTTGCTCGTTGACTCGGTTGTCTAGACCTGTCGGTGGCGGGTGTTGACTAGAGCAAGAATAGATCGCGGTTTCTGATTAAGAAGCTTCGCCACGTATCTGCCTGCTCTATATACATACATATGATATTACATTAACCGGCGAGAAGCTGCGTCAGCTCATGCAGACTCGCACTGCACCCGGGGAGGCTGGGCGGCCACGTAAAGAGCATAACGTAGGACGGAAGTAGTTCATCCGATCCACGTTATTTAGGGGCAGCATGCCAAACAGCTTGTCAGGCAGCTAGCTGCCAAGTTCTAGACAAATGTCCGTGCTATCCGCGGAACTTGCGACGCTGAAGGGCAGGACTAGCCGATAATTTGGCCGATGTATGCAGGAACTCATCCAGGTCCCGCGTAGTTAAATAGACGTCAGCGGTCTAGTTTCTCCTTGGTATACATGGCGTGTATCTCAGGCATTCATGATGCTGCGACGACTTTATTCCTCCTGGCGAGAATAAAACTGTATGACCCCCAGCTCCAACAAGCAAAACGGTTCACCACGGTCATGACTTGTGGCCGCCGGCCCGCAGAACTGCTGCTGTCCCCCAATGTATGACGTCCGACCACGTGTTTCCACACTGGATCTTCGATTTCAACTGCGTCCCGGTGAACGGGACATCGGGGCTGTGCCGCATCCCCACTGCCACGGCATTCTGTTATTGGGTTTCTTATGCCAAGAGGATAGGACCGCTAAATGCCATCTGCTGTAAACGCCGTCTTCCCAACGGACAACTGGACTTTACGGCCCCATAAATCGGCACACGCCCCGATTCCTTTTGCGTAGCCAGAGGGAAATTTAGGCCTGTATGTGGCGCCGGCACCGAATTCAGCTTCGATGTTCCCTCCTTGCCGAGGGCGCCGGGACGTTGCTTGCGGCCTTGTACTAGCGTCGACTTTGGCATTTGATGACGCCGATCTCGCCACTGTCGAATATTAGTTCGATAAACTCCGTATACATGCCGCTTGCGGCGATCAATGTCTTGGCGGAGGAATGGAGTAAAGAAAGGTCCTCGGCTCCCTCGGCTTGTCGTTTACCACCGGACTTTGAGCCCGTGCACTCGCGCTCCCTCGCCACGCTGCAACTCTCCCCTGTAGAAACGTTTCTCCCATTCGGGCTACTAGCAGCCCGGAAGTCGCTGACGACTATGAGAAGAACCCCGATCGCGAATGCCTAAAAGAAGCCCGAGAAATGCGAAGATAACAACAGGGTGGTTTTCCATACATGGAAAGGCCTGCAATCGATAATCGGTATCGGCCCCACATTTATTGCAAGTATTGCAATACACCTTTCCATACTTGGTCCGTGCACGACGACAAAATGTCACTGAAGACACCTTCGACAAGATGGACAAATTCACACCATATGGTGAATTAAAAATACGAAGTAATTGATTGAGCTCAATGATAATGTCAAAAAGAGAGGGTAGGCAAATCTTACGTGTTTTGTTCCAAGACGAGGAGGGAAATCAGACGGGAATTTGCACGAATTCTCACGCCACGGTCACGCCACCGCCCCTTCCCTCTTCAAGACATTGTTCTTCACCCAATGCTTCAACCAATTCTCCTTTTCAATTTGGTCCGCATCCAATTGTGCCCTTTCCCAGGAGATCGTACGTCCCTGAAAACACCCGTTCCGGCTCGTCGCTCATCGCTGGCATTGATAGGATGTCTATTGCCATTCGTGATAACTTCGGCCGTCGGTTCCTATGTCGCTCTTGAAGCCACCATGATAAAGCAGTTGTTGGCGCAATCTCATATGGATCACCTGAGATGTAATCTTCATACTCGTCTTGACTTGTAGGTCGAGCACAATTCTGCAGATTTCTTGAAATACGATCAAATGCATCAAGGCCATTGTCTTCTTCTTCGTCCAGTACATGATACGAAATTGTACCGTCGTTTGTATTTCGGTAAGAGTAGCAAAGGTCTTTGACCCGTTTGAAAGCAGTTTTATGCCACTTCTTCTAATTTGAGTGGATGTACGTCGTGCGATAGCTTGGATGAAGGACCAAAGAAGCGGCGTAATAGGGCGAATTCTCTTTATTGATAATTTCTTGGTCAAGGTAGCCTTTGAAGACACGGCCCAGATCCCACGCTTGCCCGTAGAGTTGATCAAATCCTTCGATGATGGACGGTTGAAGAGGAGATAAATTCTCTGCGACGTTGATGACATACTTTCTTGCCCTCAGGGTGTTTTCGAAAGCTGGCGGTGACAGAAGTACTGTAGGGATCATTCTGGGGACAATAAAGATAATATATGAGGCGGTTCCTGCCTTTGAACTCCGCTTCCCTTTCCATACCTATTCCATGCCATTCATGGAAAGGGTATTTCCATATTTAGATATGGAAAACCACCCTGGATAACAAGCTGTTCACGGAAGAGTGACGTTGTGCGTGGCGATGCGATCCAGGGGCGGGCCCTGTGAATACGATTAGAGATTCCAATAGACAATTTCCAGCAAATATTAGGTGTCGACGGCGAAGGTTCTCGATTTAACTAGCCTAGCATGCCTTTTGTCTTCCTAGGGAGACTGCGCAGACGTTGATAAATACAACTAACTACTGGGCTCTACCGGTGCTCTCGCCACGCTGCCGGGTTTGAGAGCCTCATTTTCGTGATGCTTGCGTCCAAACTGGATAGTTAGAGTCCCCGAAGCTATTCCGGTGCCCAACTTGATGCGAATCCTTGATTTGACTGCGCGTGCTCCTGCATCTCAAACCCATTGTGTAATTTGCTCTGTATGGAGATATGGTGGTCGTATAAGCGCTGTGAGATATTGCTCTGTTTGCCATCGAAATAGGCCTGCAACTCGCCGGAGTTTCATTCCTTTCCACAAAAACATCATTATACATTGGTAAATGCTACGAACTTCCATGCCCTTGGTATTGACCCATAAACTTGACAAGATCAACATCCGCGGCTGATATCACTGGAAACCTTCTCGGCGGCGCAAACGCTGCAAGACCTCCTTCATGTGTATTCCGTAAGTCATTCCGATGACATCCAGTGGACCGATCATCGCTCCTTCGGAATTCAGACACAGTTGCGGTCCTGGATCTTTGTGGTATAAATCCGAGCGGCTCGAGCCGGCCACGAATATTTTATGTATTGGGAAAAGGCCCACGATCAGGGCTTTCTCTGCATAGTTGGGCTTCTGCGTGGCGTAGTGCTCCAGGAATGACTTTGCCCGGTCGAAGATCCTCCATTCGATGATATCGTCGACCTGGATGATAAGCGTTCGACCAGGCGCATCTCGAATGTTTCCATTGGGTGCTGCCACAGTGTGCTCATGTTCCAGGGCTGGTTTCACCGCCTTGAACACATAAACCAATCGGCCGAGATCGCCCACAGTCGAGGGTTGATGGCCCGAGCCCAGATGGTCTAAAAAATCTCTCCATTGTCTGGCCTCCCCTCCCTGCGATCTCATCGCACTCATAATCTCCTCCAGGGATGGTATTGTTCCAGAAACAATCTTCTCCTTGATAAGGTTTACGGCGGGCTCCGTTCCTGGCGCGATATTTATTTCAATGTCGCTGAGCTGGCGGTCCGTCAGGATCGTACGGAGAAGAGCAGTCATGATGGCCTTGAGCTTTCTTCTTCGTTCGTCAATAGCAGCAATCCAGCTCTGCACGTAGCCAATGGTGACTAGGTTCCGCTCAAAGAGCCCACAGGCGGTCCAGTAGTACTGAAAATCGGGTATGTCGATATCTATGCTCAATGGAGTGTCGCGACCCCTGGAAGTGTTCTTGACGACACATGCGGTATCTGCGATGGCGGAGGAAAGCCTCGCAATAGTTTCCAACTCATATAGAGTGAGGTCGACGTTCCATGGCAAGGGCGGGACGACGGGCTTGTCGTCGACGTTTGACTGCCCGTCTCCTGGCGACATGAAGAGTATGGACTTGGAGAACAAGCATATGCCGCCGATGATGTGTATCCGCTCGAATTTCGTAGCAATTGCTCGATCTAAAAAGGCAGGCTTGATTCCGGAGCAACGAGAATTGAAGTACTGAGTCGACGTGGCGCCATTGGAGAATTGAAGTCGAAGTCTCGTGTAGATTTCTGCTGAATCAGAGCCATTCCTCTTACTTGACAATGGGGCGGTCGACATGAATGCCCCCTGCCCAATAGTCACCAAAGGGGCCCTTTTCGCCGAAATCGGCCGGGCATTGCGCGTACAATCCGATGTAGTAGTGTTCTCAGACGCACCGCCGAGAAGAGAATACAGCTTTCCGAGTGACGCGGTGCCTTTTCTGACCACCTTTGAAAGTCGTTTGTCATCAATGGCCGACTCGCTCAGGCTGGTGAGGAATCTGTAGCTCGGCGCCCCGGGCAAGACTTGAGGACATCTGGCGTCATGGTCGAGGACGTGGTTTGTAACGATGGGCGTTGTGACGTTGTCATGATGGATGATCGACACAACTCTCTCCGTATCACCAAGGCCTTTGAGGGGAACCTTCAATGGAGGGGGCCGGCAATTATGCCTATGGTCTGCTGAGCTCCGCTTGGGGTATTGCACGTTAAAGACGGGGGCTAACATGATGAGTAAATGAATGCGGCGACTAAGACCAGCAAAGAGGCCACCTCGCGGGTCTGTGAATCAGAAAGACGAACAATGGGGGTAGGCGAGACAGTTTGCTCAAATATACTGAAGGAATGGGTGTAATCAGTCGCCTGCCTTTACTTTATGAGAAAACCCCTTGCTGTCCAGGATCCCCCCTTCAGCAACATCCTACCATCTGCCTCTAGGGCCTAGTGTCTCCACAGCCTTCCATGAGCCTTCCATGAGCCTTCCAAAACTCCTAGCCCGTCGTCTTGTTAGACGGTTTCCGGCACCAACTTGTCGGCCTTGCTTCAGTTCTCAGCCTCGAACCCCCCCCCCACCCACCCGGGCTGGCACGAGGACTGCCAGGACGGCATGTAGATCACATTCCGACCGCAGCTATTCATAGTGCTGTCCCCACGAGTGGAAGCGTGTCTCCCTGAACAGCCAATGGACGCAACATGCAGAGACGCCATTGCTTTTGCCCCCACTAGGCTATTCCGACACTATTTACCGGCAGATTGGAATAACGCTACTGTCGGACGGTTATTTTGGCATTATGATGTGACAAAGAATACGACGACGCGTTCAAAGGCATCATCTACTTATACACCGCTGCTCCTGTAGTGGAATCACTGTCCGTCACTGTTCAGGCAACTGGACAAGCGGAGACGGGATCATTGCTCGGCAATGAGATGAACCCACTCCCGAACTGATGTTTATCCTGTACCAAGTATGTTACAATTCTGCTTCGGTAAAATTCGCCCGTGACATGAGCCCGCAAACGTAATTTATAAACAGCATTGTAACCGAAACATGCGCCGGTCGATCCGCAACCGGCGCGGGCTGCGATCCACTAGCTCCAGCCCATCCCTAAGGGAGAGTCCAGGCTCCTGTTGAGTTTGTGATGATTGCCGCTTAATCGATCTGGGAAACCCTTCAGAGACGTGGCCATTGTGTGGCCGAATTGACTTGCCGATATCCTGGACTATTCTGGAACCCACGAGTTGGCCAAGTAGCAACGTGAATGACGAGGTGAATTCCGCCACACTGCGGTGTGGATCTGGTCAGCGTGCGTTGCCGAACTTAGTTGCAAGGTTCTGAAGGGCATCTCGAAGAAACCGGAGGTGTGGGCCTCAAAAGGCCGACCGGTTCCATCACGCCCCTGAAGCACGCCCGTTTCTTCACCCAAGCACACAGACTTATCAGCAGAAACCTCGAGTATGTCTGGAGCCTTACCTTTGCGGCCGGACAAGGCGCCCTTTCTGCTGAAGCTGCGTTCCTCAGCAGCGCTGATTGTAACGACCGTCGCATTTGCGATCTTCACCGTGCGTCCTGCCCGCCCCCCGCGCGTGCAAGTCACTGACATGGCAGCAAAGGATGTCTTCCTGTACGGCGTCGTCGTTCTCGTCATACCCTTTGCGCTACCCAATAGGATTGCCATTGAGGGGGGGAAAGGTGGCAGTGAATTTGACAATAACGAGAGCCAGAGCTTTGCCTAACGCTTTCTTGTAGTCCAATACTGGGTTTCGGTATCTCTTGCGGTCTTTTCCGCCGCTCTCGTGGCCTTTTCACGTACGTTGCCACAACGCTCGCCGGCTTGCCACGCGTGCAGTTCAACAACGAGCATAAGATGTTAACACCGTTACAATAGCCGTCTGGGGCTATGTGGCAGATCGGTATAACAATAAACGTGCGCTCATGGTCTTTGGTCTCCTGCTCCTCCTTGGCGCCACTCTCCTCTTGTGCTTCAGCGTCAACATCCCCATGCTGTTGATGGGTCGAATACTGCAGGGCATGTCGGCTGCCCTGACCTGGACCGTCGGTCTTGCCTTTCTCGTTGACTCGGTCGAAAATAATAAGGTCGGCTTGGCGACTGGTTGGATTGCCTCGGCACAGACCGTGGGCACCTCCATCTCTCCACTCCTCGGCGGCATCGTTGTCGGACAGGGAGGCTACTATCCGGTTTTTATAATGTGCTTCGGTTTCATTGCCGTGGATATCATACTTCGGCTCTTCGTGATAGAGACCAAGGATGCGAGGAGATGGCCTGGGGTCGAAACAGAACGCACACCACACGGGGAGACTGATCTCGCTGAACTGACTGGACTGGCAGTCGGCGAGAGCAGCGCCAGTGCCTTGGAAAGCGACGATTCTACTCAAGGGAAACAGCCAGCTTACGTCGTTCGCGGCTCAACTTCAACTCAAAACAATGCCAGGAGCTCCATCGGAGCGAGGGGCTTGATGCTTCTCCTCAGCAACCCTCGCCTCCTCGCAGCCTTGTGGGGGACTCTTGTCGAGGCAAGCATCCACGCCTCTTTCGACAGCACCTTGCCTCTATTCGTCTCGTCCACCTTTGGCTGGGGCCCCACCGCCGCCGGGCTCGTCTTCCTCAATCTGGCATTGCCAGCATTCCTCAGCCCCTTGGTGGGAGCCCTTTCCGACCGCATAGGCCCTAAGTGGCTGGCAACAGGGGGGTTTTTGGCGGCAACTCCCTTTCTTATATGCCTGCGTTTTGTCACGGAAGACACTCTCAGGCATAAGATTATGCTCTGCGGCTTGCTGGCCGGGATTGGCCTGTCGACAACCTTTGTCATGGGCACCTTAATGGCCGAAGTCACTTGGTCTGTTCAGCAAGACTCTGAGGACCCCACGACGGTCCCATACTCATTGGCATATGGAATCTATAACATGGCCTTCTCATGCGGTGCCATATTGGGGCCTGTCATGGGCGGCTTCATACAAGCTAGTGCCGGGTGGCAGAGTGTAGGATGGAGTTTTGCGATTCTAACCTGTACAGCAGCCATAACGCAGGCCATCTGGACCGGTGAGTAGGTTGAGGTTTGGTTGCACCGGTCGGCGAACCGGGCCCAGTCCTTGACTGCGAACAGAGCCTTTAGCTCGTTCCTCGGGCTTCCGTTGGTTGGAACAAGGCTCCTTACCCTTTCCTTTCTTCGCCATCCTTTTCCGGCCTTTTCCTTAGTCCATCTCTTGGTCTTGGGACTCATCGAGACCTTGGTCAAGTTCTGGTCCAAACGTACGAGGGCCTCCAGGCGCCTACTGTGAAGCGCACGCTGGCCAAGGACCGCAGCACACACGGGACGTCTGAACCCTTCTTAGACTCGGGACAATGGTGAGGCACCGCCTGTCCAACCGACACTTCCTTCCGGCGCAGCCAGCACGGGGTTTCCGCAGCTCTTGATACACGTGTCCAGAGCCCGGGCACATTGACAACAGCTCCCGCGACGCGTATTACCAGCTGCAAGCCCTGCGCCCTTGGCAGTGGTGACCAATGACGCCGACCCGAGGCTTACCTCGGTAACGGAGCAGTTTGAGCGTCACGACAGCCACGCATTCATTTGATCCGTTGTAACGCATCGCCCAAACCCCAAGGGCTGGTAGTCGCCGGCGTGGAAAGACTCCGAGGCCACGGCACAATGTCCGGGGACTTTGAGAGCCTCAACGACCAACGACACATTCCATAGGTATGTTTGCATCACAGATGCTACTCCCTCCTGCAACACACCGAGGGCACATGCTCGTCTCGACGGCAAACCACCAACTCCGCGACAATCTGTCACCTGTCATGTCACCGACTAACCTTGACAACTAGCTCAGACTGTTCCTAGCTATGGGTGGGTGGCCGCGTGAGGCGCTGACCCCTCGGCGCCGTAGTTCTCGTCCAAGGGAAAGTTCTGGACTGCGCAGGTTCTATCCTGGCTCTGCCGACTGGGGCGAGAGGCGCCGTGCTGCTCAGGTTGCTGGTTTCGGGCGCCGTGGCCGCCACGCCCTGCCGCGCTTCGTCAGGCAGACGACTACCTCGTGGCGGTAGCCGCCGCACCAGGTGAGAAGTTAGAATAATACAGTAAAGTAGAAGGAAGGAAGAAGCGTACGTGAAAACGTTTCGGGCGGGGGTGTGCGAACTGGTCTCTTTTTGAGGTGATGAAGAAGAAGAAAGACGAATGGAGAGCGGCGAGAAGAATGAGTCCCTACCTGGGCAAGCAAGTCGCCTCCGGGGCAGAGTCAAAGGGAAGGCACGTTGCGGAAGGAGACCCAAGTCCATCGAGCAGCAAGAATTTTGTACATCAAGAGCTCGTCAAGGCCAGGGTAGGCGCAAAGAACGTTGGACGCCATGATTAGGCGCAGAGTAGTGCACAGGGGGGCAAGCCCGTAAGGCAGGGCAAACTCTTTGAGGGTGCGTCGTGTGTTGACTGGAGATGAAGAGGCTAAGCTCGGCTGAGGAGTCGGTGAGGGTGTGATGTTGCCTGCCTGGCAGCTGCCGGGAGTCACGGGACGCGGTGCGGGGCACTGCCGGTACAGGCAGCCACGATCGAGTGGCAGATTATAGGCGGTCGGTCAGGTCAATCTTGCTCTGAATCAACCAGTCAAGCCTTCGTCTTTCACCACGGTTGGTTTCCGCCGATTTATTTAAGTTATGTGGGGGGCTCTGTATGTCCAGCTGTGTGTGGGCCGCAGTACCAAGCCGTCGGCGGAATCAGCATGCTTGGCCAATGATGGCCTGCTTACAGCCCCAAGAAGGCAGGTAGGCCAAGCGCCAAGTACATGTCGATGCACTATTAACACGGCCTGGACACCATTGCAAGCTCGTCCCGCAGAAACACGCGCGTGCAACCAAGGCGAATGCCAAAGTAGACGCAGTGGCAGCCTTGCCAGCCCGTCCGCACGTACTGCATCCAAGTTGAGATGCTTGCGCAGCATTACTCAGCCCCCGATCACCTCGTCTAACGAAAGGCCACCACCCCTCAAACCGCGACCGCTAAAAGGCTGACGCAAAGAAGGGGCATTAGCCTACCTTTACCTTTATAAGCAACTATACCGTTCGATGTTATCGGGGGCGGCGGAGTGGCTTACTTGGTTGCCAGCAGCCTGAGCAGCCCCGCGCCGCGTCCAAGCAGATTCTTGGTTTCTTGGTTAGGGGAAGAGGTGAGGTTGCGGGCTCCGATCCCCGCCTCATTCACTCTTGTTTCCTTTGTTTTTAACTACTCTCTATAAAGTCTTGGCAGGTATTTATCAAACTGGAAATATCGCTCGACCAGGCACACATGCTACGCTCCCACGTCATGGGGCCGATAAATATGAAGACTAATTATCCACGCACTCATTCCATTCTTCCACCGGAAAGCTTGTGCCCTCGCTCGAAGTCGGATCACTGCGTGACGATCCAGTGGCTCCTTCACACTACCAGTCCAGAGATACTTGCAATTTTTCCCGTACCATAAATGTTTTTGGGGAATTGGGCTCTTCTGGTGGGTGGCCTTGTTCTGTTCCACCGTCCACAGTCACACGCCTCGATGCCTTCGGGCGGCTGTTACTTTGCCGCGCACGTGATCTATTATATGACCTCCTGATTTCTGCCGAACAGCCAAGGGATGGCCTTAGTCAGCATGGGCGAACTCAAGGGGAGCCAATAGAGGCGCGGACCCCCGCGCCTTTAAAGTCGGCGCGGACGTCCGCGCCTGTTATGTAAGCCCAGGCGGAAGATAGTCGGGCCGCCCCCTGACCTGTACTCTCCTTTTCTATTGCATGTGGCAAACTGTCGCACAGAGAGCCAGCCTCATATAGCATACCATCTGCGCTCAGAGTAGTTGTCCGCGGAAGCGATGCTATAATCCGCATATTAAGGTCGAGCGCCTGCATGCGTGGTGCTTGGACCCCATTGAGGCCAAAGCTCAAACGCAGGCTGCATTAAACCTCGCAGGCGGCCTCGGTTACAAGGGTTCTGCACCACGTCCACAAAGCAGGAGTTTCCTTTCCTTTGTGTATAAAGAGCTGCTCACTGTCGTGCACTACAGCTAGCTCTTCAAGATAATTCCAATATGGGGCTTACTGAATTCCCTGACGATTGCCTTCCTCCTGAGGGCCAGTTCGACTCGCGAGAGTCTCTTCTGCCTCAATTAATGCGTGGGCGGCTCCAAGAGGCTATGCCTTCACCACAGGCAAGTCCACGAGAGACCCGCGGTCCGGAAGACGCACAGTCATATTTGCCTGCGATCGTGGAGGTAGACTTGGGGCTCATACAAGCAAGGACCAGAAGCCAGCTGATCGGCAACGGTCTACAAGCTCCCGTATCACTGGATGCCAGTTTTCCATCAATGCGAAAGAGAGCCTTGATAAGTCGTACTGGTATGTCAGGCATCGCCCAGGCGAGGAGAAGTCGGTCCACAACCATGAGCCCAGTCTGCATATTACAGCACATCCAGCTCATCGTGCCCTCTCCTCAACTGACCAGTCAGCTATTGGGAACCTCTCAAGCGCTGGCATAGCACCAAAGGATATCCGGACATATATGCGCCAGAGCTCTCAGACTGCCCAAGGAGCGACACAGCAAGACATATATAACTGTATCGCACAGCGCAGACGAGAGCTCCTTGCTGGCCAGAGCACAATGCATGCCCTTGCCAATGAGCTTGACAACGAGGGGTTCCAGAGCCGCATACAGCTTGATCATGATGGCCGAGTCACAGCAGTCTTATTCGCACACCCAGCGTCTCTAGGATACCTCAACGCATACCCAGAATTACTACTGCTAGACTGCACATACAAGACGAACAAATATAAGATGCCACTGCTCGATATGATCGGCGTTGATGCCTGTCAGCGGTCATTCTGTATTGCCTTTGCCTTCCTCAGTGGTGAAGACGAAAATGACTATATCTGGGCACTGGACCAACTCCAATCGATATACGAGTTATATGACATTCGCCAGCCATCGGTTATCCTGACAGATCGCTGCCTCGCCTGCATAAACGCAATTTCCCGGTGCTTTCCTGCGTCCAAGTCTCTGCTTTGCATCTGGCATGCGAATAAGGCGGTGCTTAGCTATTGCAAACCAGCTTTCGACCGTGACGATGAGGACTCTAATAGTGATGAGAGGTGGGCTGAGTTCTTTGGGTATTGGCACTCAATCGTGGGCTCGAAAGATGAGGAGACATTTGATCAACAAGTTGAAGAGCTCGAGAAGCGCTTTGTGCCACGATACGTCAAGGAGGTTAGCTACATACGGGAAACCTGGTTGGACCCGTATAAGGAAAAGCTCGTCAAGGCCTGGGTCGATCAATATGCTCACTTCGGCAATGTGGCTACTTCCCGGGTGGAAGGCATCCACGCATTATTGAAGAGTCACCTTAAGAAGTCAACATTAGACCTCTTCGAGGCAACGAGGGCAATCAAGCAAGCTCTCCTCAACCAACTGGCCGAGCTACAAGCCAACCAAGCCAGGCAGCATATACGGATGCCAATTGAGCTCTCTGGAACCGTATATAGCACGGTACGTGGCTGGGTATCACACGAAGCCTTGCGACAGGTTGCAAAGCAACACAAGCGCCTCAACGAGAAAAACACCCCATCTTGCACAGGCAGCTTCACCAAGTCTCGCGGTCTCCCTTGTGCGCACGCATTACAGTCTCTCATAGTGGAAGATCTGCCCCTCCGGCTACAACATTTTCATACACATTGGCGCCTTCGACGGGATAACAAAGAGATTGGTCAGGTCCTCATAGAGCCTCGTCGGCGACTAGACCAACTTGTCGCCGCATCAAGGATATCACAGTCATCCACACAGCGCGAGCCAAGTGCATTTGAAGCCATAGAGTCAGATCTACGGCCAAAGGCGCCGCCTACATGCAGCAAATGCCACCAGCAAGGGCACATCATGACATCTCGCAATTGTCCTTTACGCTATAGCGACATACTGCAGCGGGCAGAGGCACGGGCGGCACAGACTGCAGAGACTGCAGCAATTGCAGGGACTGCACAGACTGCACAGACTGTACAGACGGTAGCAGTTCCAGAGACTGCGCAGACTGCAGCAGTCATGGAGAAAATGACAGTTGCAGTCACTACGGTCTCTACAGTCTCTACAGCAATTGCAGAGACTACAGAGACTACAGAGAATCTATTATATGATGACCCACGAGCCATCTATCAGAGGTATGTCAGGAAAGAGACTCTTGGTATAGAGCACAGCCTCGCGGCAGTCTCAAGACCAACCAGGCATACCGAAAGGCAATGGGCTTGCCATTGCGCTACAGCAAGACTGAATATGACTGGTGCCTCGACTGGAAGCAAATGTCAAGGAGCTGCGGCTCGAGGCAATGGACCAAGGTAGAGATGATGGCATACCTTGATTGGGATAAGGCAGAAGAAGAGCGATTAGATGCCCGGGTGGCCGAGGAAATTCAGGTGCAGCCTTTCTCACGAGAAAGAGGTACTGCAGGTATATGGGCTGACTGCGAGAGAGACTCAGAGGAACAGCAGGCATTTTATTCACATATATAAGTGGTGATGATGCCGGCGATGCGAAAATGTGAGGCAGATCGTGAGATCACCGACATGCACCGGCGTGTAGCACTGTAGCTGGCCAATTTAAGGCGGTGAACTTCCGCGCACCCTCCTTGCCACGCAACAGCGGCGCCCTTTGCGTCACGTCAATCTACCAAATAGGGAAGGCTATGGGTTCGAACCCTAAGGGATATCCTCCTTTGCAATTAATTGAAGCTATATGTATGCAGCAAGCATGCTGTATCGGTGAGGCCGACTGCGAGCGCAGTTGGCGGCGGCCCAAATGGCCTGCCAGGCTTACATAACAGGCGCGGACGTCCGCGCCGACTTTAAAGGCGCGGGGGTCCGCGCCTCTATTGGCTCCCCGAACTCAAGCCGTCGCCGGTGGACGTGGGCATCTTCGTCGGAGCCTTCATCGGAGCGCGTTCCACTTTCGCCTGTGTTGGTTTGGTAATACCATCACACGGCCCGGCTCGCGAGGGTTGCTCCTCGCTTGCGTTTGCCAAGGTAAAGGCCAAGCATTCTGCAGATCCTCCGCAGCGATGGAAATATGCCCGAGTTGCTGACTTTCACCTTTGGCCGAGACGAGCTGGTGCAGACGTTGCGAGGCGGGCCTAAACATCAGGCGAAATGAACCAGCCACCCGCTCTCGCCCGTTCCAACAAGCGCCGCAGCGAGCGTCAACGAAGTCATATCGCTTTCTAGTCGCCGGGGCGTTATAGCCACGTGCCATGTGCATCGCCGGCTCTGACAGGAATGGTCTGATGCGGATGCCCGGCGATACGTAGGCGCCCGAGCGACAGGGATACGGTGGACTCGAGCATGTGAAAGAACATGGCCAACGTTGGAAGCCACCAAAAGCTTGCAGCATTGTCGACGAGGCAAGCCTGGGCCTAGGCCAGGGCGGCCCCTGGGGTTCCGAATGCTTCGCCATGTATCAATTGGAGAATACCTACCTACCTACCTCGCGAGCACACAGCCAGTCATCTCAAGACTCGGATTTCCTCAAATCAGCCGGCGTGGGGAGCCGGCAGGTGACGGGATAGCGTGATTCGTCGTCGAACAGGGTCCGCCCGTTGCGGTTGACGCACACGAGCGCGCGGTAGAGGTTCTCGAGAACTTCTTCTTGTGCCAGGTTAGTGGGGTCCATCCTCGCCCACAGAGCATTTACGGCACCCTCCGATTCGTCCCAGTAGGGGGTTTTCTGGCCGAACCGACTTACGCCCCGTCTCGGCTCGAGGGTTTCCATCCTTTCCACCCTGAGGATGATAAAGCACTCGACGTAGCCAGTGCCGGACTTGAGCAGACGCTCGACTCGGTCGATTCCCCAGAGGCTCATGGTGTCGATGAACTGCTCGGCACTGAGTCAGCCATAGCAATGTATACATAACGAGTGTTTAAACTGGTCTTCCATGAATAAGCTCGCATGGAAGTCGGTGTTCATCTTGTCCCCAGGTAACGGACGCGGTTCTTCCTCGCTTGGATAGTAGTCGGGCAGACACTGTACGTCGGGGTCGAAAATGTGGAAGCTATCGGGCAACCAGCGCGGTATGCGGACAAAGCGAGCGAAGACGTCGCCATAGCGACAGCGTACGTACTCCCAAAAGCACTGGATGCTCTCAATCTCTCACGGCGCCAAGGCCCTGCGCTCATAGTGGTCCAGCATTCCCAGCTGCAACTCGGGAGACGGGACGGCTGTGGCTGCCGGTCCACGGGGCCGAGAACAGGGGCGTCGTCGTCTGACGAGGAGCGGAAGACCCTGGACAGAATCTCATAGCGGAGGAAGGCTTTGAAGATTCTCCGTCTCTCCGCCTCAAAAGGGAGTCGAAGAGGACCAGCGCATGGCCCGGCCGTGGGGTAAGGCTCTCTCTCTCGGTAAGGAGTTCGCCTTCTGCAAATAGTCATAGATAAATGCCCCTAGCTGCAAGCAGAGACGCTTGAGCCGGTCCGCAGTGTCGGCCTCGGGCTGCTTGGGCAGCTGTTTGTTCTCCCACTTCTTCGGATGAGCGTGGCCGCGCCGGTCGTAGAGTTTTAGGGATTCCGGATCGGCGCGCTGGGGGAAGTGCACGACTGCCAGGGCGTCTTGTAAGAGGCCGCCGCGTAGGCCGTCGCCGAGACAATGGTGGAGGACTCATCCCGGGGGGGGCTGATGGGTCGCGTGTGTTTCTGAGGCCGAGCCACGGCCGTGCTCGGGAGTCGATGTTGCGTCCCATGGCCGAGGGTGCCAACGAGAGTGAAATGAGTTCGAGGGCATCGGGTTGGCACGATATTTATACGCGCGACCAAGGACCAGGTTTCGGGAGGCAATAGGCATCAATACAGTCCAAAAGCTGTCAAAACTTGAGATTTCAATCAACGTAAAGTAACTTGGAAGATGAGGGCGAGGGAAGAGAGGGCAGAGGCGCTGCCGTCAAGGTTCAGTTGGACTCTGGATATGCACGAATTTAACCTTGATGCCGGCCACAGCCGTCTTCTCATCTTTCACTCGGAAGCTCAGCAATAGTCACACTTTAACACGGCATGAGAACAAAAGTCTGTATTCTGGAGCCATGGCCAACTGCCTACAAGCCAGATGAAATAGTTAGCTATGTAAATGACAGCTGCCTCGTCTATATCTGAGCATATATTACACCACACTCTTCGACAAAAATATCAGCCATCGTCTATGTCTTTCATCCCGCTCTTGACACCTCCCTCCACACACGTTCACAAGACGATCCGAGTCTACTCCGCCAGCTTGCAGCTCGTTCTCCTAGCCCGGCCGCTGCGTCGCGGAGCCACGCCATCTGCCCTCTCGTGCTCCATCTTGGCCTTGTGGCCCTTCCTTGCCGCTTGTTTGGCAGAACTCGCGGGGCCCCTCGCCGGGTCGCGCCCACGGGGCTCATCGTCGGACTGATCCGCCTCACATGTCCCATCCCGATCAAACGACTTGCGACCCCTCGCCTTGCGCTCTTCGTGCGAGTCCAGGAATCGATGCACGGTCCGGTGGTCGAGCACCCGCTCCTCCTTGTCTGACGGGCCGACCTTGTCCGTCTTTGGCCAGAGGTAGCCGTACAGCTTCGAGTGCCGCTCGCACCGCGGACACGATGACCGGGTAAAGTAGGCGTTTTGCTGCACAAAGTAGGCGCTGCAATTGCTGCACTGGATCCATGCCATCTCGGGCTCGGAGAGCAACAAGGGCGTCAGCACGTAGTCACCAGGGGTCCGCATTCGAGCCGGCGGCGTCGTCTGCTTGATGAAGACGCGGCGTTGGTACTTTCTGCGTCGGACTATCTGCTCCCCTTCGCCCGTTGCTTGAGCTTCTTGGCCCTCATCGACCGCCTCGATGCTGCTTACTATGACGACGGGCGCAGGTGCCGTGGGCTTGTCGCTCGGCGGCGAGTGGGGGACTGAGACGACGGGCGTGGTTGCGAGTGCGACGGCCGCTTCGGACGAGGCGCTTGCCACGCTCTCCTGCGACAGTGGTGGGGACTGCAATTCGCAAACGCTCTCCAGCGAGACGTGGTCCACGTTGGACAAGGCGCCGACGTGAGCCGCATCGCTCTCTTCCCTCTTCATCGCACGCGGGGCATCGCTCTCCATCGGCTTCTCGGCGCTCGGCTCGGGAGTCTCCTTGTCGGGCGAGGTAAAGTCCGTTTCCATGGCGTCGCCGTTGATGGAAGATGCGCTGCCGCTGGAGGAACTGCCGCTGGAGGTGACACCTTGGGCGGTCAGACTTTCCGCCAGGCTCCTGAGTCTTTTGGCCGGTGTCACGGGCGGCGTCACCATGGCGCCGGCAGAGCGCTTTCGCCCTCTCGGGCTGTCGGCGTCCGGAGCCGGGGACGTCGCTGCCGACCACGATGCCTTGGCGTGGCCCCGTCTCGGGGTCCTGATCCTCGTCTTGTAGATGCGCGGCCGGATGAGTGGCGCCACCGACGGCGTTCTCGACGAGGCGGCGCCGGCGCTGCTGCCGTCCCGGAGCCGGCGGCGCAGCGAATAGCTCTCCGTCTTTTCTTCATCCAAGCCCTCGTCCACTCCCTCGACGGTGGCCTCGACGGCGGGTGCGGCGACGTGCTCGGGCGTCCAGCCGTTGCACAAATTCTTCTCGCACGTGCGGCATAGGCATTCGCAGTTGTCCTCGCCAAAGTAATTCTCCCCGTACGACACGGTTATCTCCTCCCCGGGGTCAATGGCGCGCGTGGCGATGATCTCGATGCCGGCGTGGCCCGTGGTCATGAGCCTGGCGTTGGCGCCGCAGTCGTGGTTGGCGAAGCGGGCGGGGCCCATGAAGAGGCTGGTGCACTTGTTGCGGGAGCTGACGACGATGCTGAAGTCCTTTTTGCGCACGGCAATGTCCTTTTCCTCTTCGGGGGTGATGTTGACCTGGATGCCCGACAGGTATCGGACCGTCTCGTTGCGCCGGATGGGCCGCCGCGCCGTGACGCATGCCTCGTGGGTGACAATGGTGTATCTGTTTGTGGAGCCCACCTCCCACGGGCAGTCGGGGAGGTAGATTTGCAGATAGCGCAGCAGGTGGCGGCGGAAGTCGTCGCGCTCCTGGTCCGTCTTGAGGCCGTCGTGGAATCGGCGGAGGCCATCGGTGGCCAGCAGCTTGCGCTCGGCGGCCTCGAGGCTGCGGTTGACGACCACCTCTTGCTGTATGATGCCGGCGATGACCTGTTCGCGAATGCCCCGGGACGGGTGGTAGGAGGAGCGGTTCTTGGGGACGCTGGTCCAGTAAAACACCTATGCGCGACCGGTCAATGGGCGTCCTCGGGCGGCGGCAGTCCCGCTTGCACTCACATGGTCGACGAGGGCATCGGTCAGGATGTCGTCGTAAGCGGCGAGCTGAGCCAGCGTCAGGCGCCGTCTCTTGGCGGCCGATGCGCTCTTTGAGGTGGGCATCTTTCAGCAGCCAGCAGAGGTTCGCTCGTACAAGGGAGACAAGAGCAAGGAAATTGGGGGAATCAGCGATTCAGCGATGCGACAATCCAACGGACTGGTGTTTAGCCCCCGCCCGCCCTCGTTCACTTCATCAAACGGCGCCTGGTTTGCAGGAGAGCGACTCAGCGCTTGGGGGCTGGACAAGGGATTGGGTAAGAGAGAGATTAGCTCCCCGGGCCTCAGCGCCAACGCCGTCTCCCGCCCAAGGCCGAGCGTAGCCTGTGTCAGAATCGAGGGCAGTGGAGCCGCAGCAAAGAGGAGGAGGAGCAAAGGTCTGTTGGTCTCGTCCAAAATAGTCGACGCATGAAAATTAGGTACAGAATTGAAACCTTAATCGGGCATCGCCAGGGACAATGAGCGGAAGCGTCTCGAGACGAGCAAGCAAGACAGTCCAACAGGCCAAGAGAAGGGTCAAAAGGGAGCGAGGAGCAATTGTCGTCTGATCACAAAGGGGGTTTTCGAGGGAGATGGAGAGGAAGAATAGGGTACCTACCAGGTAGGTGGTGGTTGATTCAAGGTACACCACTCGTACTGTATCCGTACAACTGCTGCTCTTTGTTGAGGTCCCAGCCACCCGCTCGCTACCTGGGCGACGGGCCAAAGCTGCGCGATTACCTAACCCACCCCATCTCCAATCTCCAACTCCAACCCCCGTCACCATGAGACGTGACGGACCTCGAGATCAATTACCTATACCACATGCTTCGTACATGGTTTGCAATAATGGGCAGCATGAAACACATGCACGGGCCTAGCTGAAAGAAAGCGCGTAAAATGGATACCTAATTGGCATCAGCGGACCAAGTCGCGCTTTGAGTCCTCTTGCCCCCACCAAACGCGGCACGTGACCCTCCGTCGCCGGGGAAAAGAATCATATGCGATAGCTTCGACCTTGACTTGGATCAGCACCGCCTCCCCGTCCATTGCAGCTCCCACCCCACGGGCGGTGTCGCCACAATGATTCAACTCAAGGTCTGCCCCCGAAGGTCTTTTCGGTTGAAGCCGTACAAGAAGATGGTCGAGCTCAGATCCAGGCTGACCCCCGCAGACGATACTCAACTGCATCGACAATTCGGGCGCCGCCCTCGTCGAATGTGTCCTCGTCATCGGCCAGAAGCGTGCCGCCCGCATCGGTATGCCCGCGTCCTTAAAGACTGCCTGTAAAGTCCATGGTCCCTGACTGACCGCTCGCTGCGCACAGGTGACCGCGTCGTCGTCGTCGTCCAGGAACAGCGCGGCTCCGCCTCCGGAGGCATGGCCGGCCTCTCCGCCGCCAACAAGGTCAAGCGCGGCGACATCCGCCACGCCGTCATTGTCCGCACTCGGTACCCCTCGCAGCGCCGCGACGGCTCCGTCGCCCGCTTCGACGACAACGCCTGCGTCCTGCTCAACAAGAACGGCGACCCCGTCGGCTCCCGCATCAACGGCGTCGTCGGTGCCGAGCTTAGGCGCAAGAAGTGGAGCAGGATCCTGTCCATGGCTCCCATGCAGGCCTGAGCGTCTTTTTTCTATATCTCATGGGGCTACAAAGATGGTACGTCGCAGGCGAGGATACTGGTCAACAGTCACGCTACGGGATGAGGGGCATGGAACAGCCTCATGTCGCGTGTACTTTTACGGACACCACAAGCATTTGCGAGGCGTTTATAGAAAGGGGCAAAGAGGCTTCCCTTTCCGTCGGTTGACGGAGGCTCCACCAGTCAATGACGAACGTAGTTACACGTGAACGATAGTTATGGAGTGTGTCACAAAAAGGGTTGATGATTTTGAAAGTTTTCATCATTGAGTATTCATTTTGTGCCCTGCGGCTTGAACCCACGCGTCTTCAACTCGCCTCAGGCTGCCGGCGGCTGCCAAGGGTGTATGAGAGACGCTGACCTGCCGTGCCGAGGGTGCCGTACGCCTGGTCCGAATCCCGGGGTCCGCAATCCTTCCTTAGACGCCTCTAAAAATACATGAGAATAGTATCTGAATGCAAAAGAAAATCCCCTATCCACCTCGCGGCTGGTGACGCCCACCACGATGTCTGAAGACCCTCGTTGGACGTCGTGGGGCGGATGGTAGTAAACCGTTCAATCGAAAATGTGGCCGCATTCGCAGCAAACATAAAACAATTTCTTTGCCGCCCGTCCAGTTAGCGAATGTTGCCCATCACAAATGACCCGTACTGCCCAAAGCCCAAGAACCCAGGGGACTAGAATATTGCCCTCGATAATATATTCTGCGTGCGAGGAGGCGGCTTACCATGCCAGTTTCAGCGCTTCGTTGTTGAGACTGGAAGAAGACGGCCTCTTCGTGTTGACACCTAGGACACGTCTTGTTCGACCGAGGGAGCTGTAGAGATGAAAAAGCAGAGATGAGTCAGCCAGCAGCTCCAAAGCGACCAAGCAAAACTGTTGTGACGCAATAGGTAGAACAAGCGGCTCATGGTGATTCGACCTCCTGCTTTTTCCGTCCTTGTCCAGTCCAGACACTCAAAGGCTTAACGGCCGGTGACCCTGATGTCAGGTCATGTTACAGCAAAGTATATTTGTCGTAGTCGTTCATACGTCGAAATCGAAATCATGGCCATGCGGCGGGGCGGAGGCCGGGACTCAAAGGTGGATGACCATGGCGCCATTGCCCCAAAAAGCCCGGCCGTCGTGCATGTGGCCGTCGAGAGATTGGCCGAGTGCGTGGCCCGAGGTCGAGGGGTGGCCAGTATTTCCATCGCTCGAGGGGCCAAAGAACCCGTGCCATTCGACGATGCTGGTGTGGCCTGCGACGCGAGGCTGGTCGCCAGGCCCAAACATGTTCGAATCGGCGGTAGCGTAGCCTTCGTCGGCGGCGCCATCGGCAGTGTCGAGCTCCTCGTCATATTCGGCAAAGGGATCGGCATCCTCATGGTCGGCGAGTGCGAGAACAAAGTGCGCAATGCCCAAGTCACCGTCGGGCTTGTCCTCTGGCTTGACGAGGGACGTGCAGGTGGCGGGTTGGGAGCAGTAGGCGCAGGAGATGACGGTGCCGCAGTGAAGGCAGACAACAGGCGGGAGTTCACTAACCGTTGGATCAGAGCCCACGTCTTGGGTCACGCCAGCAGTCTCGCCGGCCGAGTTGTTGAGCACGTTGCGGAAGACGCAGGTAGATGCGGCCTCCTCGGTGTACTGGCAAGTTCGGCAGGTGAACTGAAGCTTGTGAGCATCCTCGTCCTCCTTGGGATAGAGCATGTTGGAGCATTCAGAGCAGAAGCGAAATGTTATTTGCTCCAGCTTCTTGGGGCCCGACGTGTCGTCCTGCGAGGTAGTCGACTGGGGGGTCGCCATGGCTGTCGTGATCTCTTTATTCAGTCTCTCTTGTCTACTTGCTCAGTTGTCTGAGTTTGGGCGCTTTGGTCGAGAACGGAGGGATGATTCAGTTCGTGGTTCTCGAACCGTCGTGTTGCGGTCGCTTGGGAGGGGTAGCAGGTTGCTGCTCTTGCAAGTTGGCGAAAAGGAAACAAAGGGAAACGGGGTCTGATGTTCTTGGTGGTGCTGAAGAACTTGTCCACTCCGGGGGATCGGCAGCGGCCTGGCCTGTCGAGGTTTTGGTGGAAGCGGGATACCGTTGAGGAGCGGTGCGCGGTCGATGAAGGATGTGATGGCGAGAAAAGAGCTGAGGAGGGCTCTCAAAGGGGAAGAGGGATAACGGCAATGGCTCACGAGCCTCTGCGTTGTTTGGTGGCGGACGCTTTTGATGGAGGTGGAAGAGTCGAAGGGCGGGAATCTTTGGGCGGCGTGGGGATTAAGGGAAAAAAGCGGTGCTGCCGAGTGGGGCGGCGGCACCTCTCGCCACCCTTCAACGACCGCTGGACACTGGCCGGTAGCGCTGGTACAGCAGTGCCGGGTGCTTCGCTGGCTGCTGCGACGCGCCCGAAAAACGCCAGTAAGCCGTTTCTTTCGAGGACAGTCACCAAGCTCGACGCTGATGTTTCGGCAGTCTCATCAAAGGTCACATCAGTTGCTGATCAAGCTGCGCGTCCCTTGCCGGTGACGAATCCTGGTGATTATCCGTCACGGGAAGCGAGAAAAGAGGCCATGTGACTCACATTAATAAATCGCTGAGGCCACTATTCACAGCCCGTGGAGCACCTCCCGATGCGAGAGGGCTGGAATGCCTCCTTGCCCGCATCATCCTATCAGGGCCGCAGACGCCCCGTGGTGCCTGATACAGTTTGGCCCTCCCTCCCAGCACAGCCTGCATGGACCAATCCATCACCTGGGTGCTTCTGACCACTCGGCTTATGTTGCCGTCGCCCTGCCCAGCCATCCAGCCGACGACTCTTTGCTGGTCTCCCCTTCGTGGAGATTAGTGGAGATTCACGGCGATGCGGTAGCAGAGGTACTTGCTCAGTACCCGGCTTACCTCACTTTTCAGGCGCAGCCCATCACTCCGCTGTGTACCCACGCCGCATCGTGCATGTACCTGCGTGCCTACACCTGCCACCCACTCACTGCCGTACTATATTCTCACCCTGCGGTACGAAGTACGGATACAGCACTAATGTCTGCAGGGCCCCATGATCGTGACCTGTGAGCCGCTGACGAGCCTCTTGACAGCCCCGAAGCGGCCCCCCCTCCCCCCTCCCCCACCTCTTGGTCGCCAGGGCCAACGCGGACAAGCTCTGCACGTCATTGCGCCCCCCTCCTCCTCCAGCTCGCTCCAGCTCACGACCAGCTCCGAGGCAATCCATCCATCCACCAAATTGCTCATTAGCCCGCTTTTCGCCCTCACCATCCGTTCCTCCAGGCACCACGGCGGCCTTTCTTAAACCCCCCCGTCGTCACCTCCCACTCAATTGCCAATCCCTTTGCTTCTTCACCCTCGCGACTTGTCCTCCATCTCCGTCATCATGGTGAGCCCTGCAGCTTGCCCGTGTCGACTTGCGCTCACTCCTTGGCAGGCTGATACCGGTCTCCCCCCAAACTGGGAGGTCCGCCACTCAAACTCCAAGAATCTCCCCTACTACTTCAACTCGGCCGAAAAAGTCTCCCGCTGGGAGCCCCCGCAGGGCACCGACACGGATAAGCTGAAGCACTACATGGCCACCCACCACAGCGCCGGCCCCCAACATGCCGCCGCTCCAGGCGCCCTCGATGGAAAGATTCGCGCCGCCCACCTGCTCGTCAAGCACCGCGACAGCAGGCGGCCCAGCAGCTGGAGAGAGGTACGCCTAACCTAGCGCACAGCGCCGACGGCGCCAAAGAGACGCTGACAAGCCCCGCCGCCAGTCCGAAATCACCCGCTCAAAGGACGAGGCCATGGACGTCATTAAGGCCCACGAGCAAAAGATAAAATCCGGCGACATATCCCTCGGAGACCTCGCGCCCACCGAGTCCGACTGCTCCTCGGCCCGCAAGCACGGCGACCTCGGCTACTTTGGCCGCGGCGACATGCAAAAGGAGTTTGAGGATGCCGCCTTTGCCCTCAAGCCCGGCGAGATGAGCGGCGTTGTCGAGACGGCGAGCGGTCTGCATCTTATCGAGAGGTCGGTGATCCGTCTACGCCCCGGACACTCGCCCCGGCTACACGGGATGCCGATGGCGTGAGACTGACAGCAAGCAGGTTGGAGTAGCTTCAGCTTCCTCGTCGACATCCCGCGAGGGAAACCAAATAAAAATCGTAACATTTATCATCACATCGGTGAGGCAAGGGGCCACTATCAAAAAGGAGGATCTATACCAATTAAAAGTTGCTTGAGCGTTTCACTGGCGCAGGGCCATCACCAAGCTCTCTGCTCGTCGTATTCTCATCATTCGGCACTGGCCGTGTAGATATACCCCTTTTTTCGTATGCCTACTGGCGTGTAGTTTGGCTGCGGACATGTCAGATATATGCGCACACATACACAGAGGCAAGCCATCCAGTGTCACTGGCTGCACCAGGCATGCCAGAACGGTCTCGGCAGCGCGACTCGCTCGTGTATCCCGTTTTGAAGTTCGCTCACGCATCCCGGGTTGAGGTACTGCTCGCGGCTCCCCCCACGTAGCCTCCCGCCATTCATCTTCCCATCAGATCGCTCCGCGCCAGCCACTCGACATAGCTCTTGAACGGATCAACGGTAATAAAGACAACCGTCATGACTCCGAAAACAGTCATCGACAGCGCCGCGTACGGGGCGGCGTGGCTCCCCGTCTCGTAGAGATAGGATACGCCCATGGCCGCCCCGTTGGTCCCGACGGCCACTCCTGCAGCCACCGTCACGATGCCATCGGCTTGTCGGCGGCTGGCTGTCCTCAGTGACCTCCCTGTCTTATTTCGGGGCCACTGGGCAGCGATTTCCGCCTCGGGCAACGTCTCGCCGCTTCTGGCGTCGCCGCTTGTTTGCGGGCCAAAGGCATTCTTCACCCCAAGCCAATCGAGGGCAAAGGGATATAGCAGTTGTCCTACTATCCCGTTGCTGACAATCAAACTCGCATTCACAACCAGGTTGCCGCCCACTGCTTCCACCGCCGGCTTGGCCAACGCCAAGGTGGTACTCCGAGCGGCAAAGGCCAGGGTTTCGGGTCCACGCAGTCCTAGGCCACGGGCCGCCAGGACTGACAAAAAGACGCTTGCTGCCGCTGCAGCGACACACAACACGGAGGCAATCACGCCCGCCAAGCTGAATAACTGACGGCGGCACTCGTACAGCTTGAAGCCCCACGTCACCATGCCAACCTCCAGAATGCAGAGCGCGGCATCACCGGCTCCAAACCAGGCGCTGGGGTTGTCGGAAAGCGCGATTCCCGTGATTTTGGAAGTCCAGATGGCGTAAAGAGGAGTCCCGCTGCTGAAAGTTGCCAGAACGTGATCCAGGCTCTTCTTCTCCGCCGCCGCTTTCAACCTCATGTATGCTATCATGAGCAGCGTCGTCGAAAGGATTGGGTTGAGGAGGGCGGCTATGGAGTTTTTCGCTCGCATCTTGGAGCACAATAGTGAGGAGTCCCTGAACAGACGCTGTAGCCGTAGAGTCGTGATCCAAACAAACCATAGGGTGAAGCCATCGAGGAAACGCTCGTCTTGCCAGACGACGGCGATCGGAATGCCCACAGTAAATATGCCACAAAAAGACAATGCGCTCGGCCAATTCACTGCGAGCGCTTTCCAAGCTGATCCTTTGCGCGAGATGGTACCTGCTGACGCCAGGCCTGGGGGTCCCAGGATGCAGGGATTGGATTGGGCTTCAGAGTCGGACGATATCCTCGCATCGCGAACCGAGTTACTATCCGCAGAGTCGGGGCGGAGTGTCAAGAACGCGTCTCTGGCCGGCCTCGTTCTTCTCGTAAAGATTGGCGCCGGCGGCCGTCGTAGGTGGCCAGTACTTCGGGCAAGCCAAGGTTCAAGGGCTTTTGTACCAGCAAGGGTCGCCAGAACAAGGACAAATATTGCAACCAATGATACCAAGTAGGTTGTCACTGCGGCCAGACAGTCAGCTTAGTCCTTGAGCAGATGTGTCTGGGACGTAGTACCAAAAGCGCCGACGACGCGAGCGGTATCGACTCCGCTCAACATGTCGTGCTGGCTCAACATGACGATGGGTGTTAGGAAGCCCACTCCAAGGTGCGAGTTGATTGTATCAACCTAGCTCGGCGCGTAAGCCCAATTTGTGTCGGCAGAAGAAGTTGCACCAACCTTTGGCCTAACAATCTCGTAGACTCTGTCGCAGCTCGGGCTCAGCCATCTAACCGTCGTCATTACGCAAAAAACGATGAACATGCCGAGGACGGCCCCAAAAGACTCAAGATCTGCCTGGGCGAGACCTAGACTTAACACCCAAATAGAGACTTCGCTTGCTAAGCAGACAACGGCGACGCCAAATAAGTCTCTCAGATGAAGCAGCACATCTAGCCATCGCCTGGCCATGATCGGATCGCCTGGTTCTGGACCAGATGGTGGCGGTATCAAGCAAAGAAGCCCAGTGGTGAAGGGCTGGGACTACCGTGCTCTGCCATGTGGTTGTCCGAAGCGGCAGGCAGAGGTGGGTGACCTTTAAGTCGAGCTCCGATTCACTGTATCACGGCGGGATCGCGTCAAGAGCTGCGGCAAGGGCTGGCGTTTGAATGCCGCGGGGGCGGAATCGCTGCCATGGCTCAAACTGGACTCAAGTAACACCTGCCCTCCCGTCTTGAGTCGGATACACGGACCAGCGGATCATTGCGACTCGGCGAGTGAGCAAGACTGCCACTGCCCCGAGCGAAACCGTGATGGGGACGTCGATGACGATCACCCAAGAGAGCAAAGATGTGTACGAAAAAAAAACCCGGATTTTGTAAAGGCGATCCGGGAGATCGGATCGTTTCTCCAATAAACGCAGCCAAGAGCCAAGAACGCTCTTTGATTTGTTTAAATGCCGGATTCGGGTTTGATGCTTGTTCAGGGCCGACCAAGGTCCTCCATCTTGGGTCAGGCAAAAGAAGTGGTCACAGAACTCGGCGAGGGGTTTGAGACATCGAGGCATCGTTACATTGACACGGCAAGTTGAGCCATTGATCTTGATTGACGGCCCGAGCAGTGCTCCAGAGACGGGGTAAACGGACATCATCCGGTACGAGTTCAGACGTCTGGACGGGTTTCACTCGAGCATGGAGGGGTTTGGCACCGGCCATGGTTCCGCAGGGATCGTGGATTGCAATGAGCTGCTCGAGCAGGATTTCCAGTGCTAGGACATAGGGCGATGGTGAGCTTATGCAAACATTTAGGCAGCAAAGCATGGCCCAGGAGATGGAGAGGCAGGTCAGGAGGACACGAATGGCTCTCAGTCCCACGGCGTGAGCGTTGCGGCACGTTGGACGGACCAGTCAATCGATGGATGACACTTGACAGCAACTCGAGCAAAACTTGGCCGCAGCCAAGGTGGGTTGTCTTGAAGCGCACAAGGTCCGTGGCGGGGCTTTCAAGAACAAGACTGAACGTGCAGAGTTCGCAACGGAGCGTCGCCAGACAGGCAAGGGAACAGATAGAGGCCAGAGATGAAGGCGAGGCGAGGCGAGGCGAGGTGAGGTGAGGTCGTGGAGATGGTGGAGGGAGGCAGGACTGATTATTAAGGCACCATCCTTTGCGGCCCACCGAGATTAGGGGCCAATGAGACGCCCCGAAAGCCCCGCTGTTGACGACGACAAGGGGCTATCGTCAACAACCCGCCCAAATCTCAACTCGCAGTTCGCCATAGAGCCGCCGCTCAGCCGAGCCTCGCCCTCCTGGCTTTGCAGCCGTGTTGGCCACTCACGCGACCGAAGCAGACTTATGCCGCCGCCAAAACTCGCTGCGCTTGGCTCGGTCGACATCTCGCTCTGTACGACGAGGCCAGCGTCTGACGTCGAGCTCGGCGCCCCTGAATTACGCCACCTCGCTTCACCACAGGCCCAAAATGGATCCGGCCACCAGGGACCATGCAGAGACCCTGTTGCTAAAGGCTGCCCGCGCCTACGGGTTCCAGGTGAGACGTGAAGAGGTCCAGAGCGCCATCGACGACCCGCACCATGGCACCGCCTTTGCCGAGTGGGCAACCAAACATCTCATCTCAGATTGCCTCTTGTCTGTCGATGAGCTCGCCCTGTAAGCGCTCTCACTTGGGTCTCGGCCGGCGGATGCCCCCGGCTGACATGCACGTGCTAGGTACGCGGATCTGGACCGCAGTGGCCAGGTCGACAGGCTGGCCGCCTTGCATGACCTGGCAGAGGTGCAAGCTGTCGACGAGGGGGACTTGAGACTGGCTATCCAAGAGCTCGAGCAGTCCACGCACCGCATTTCCCTGCAAACAAAGACTCTACGTCAGCAGCAGGACGCCTTGTCCCGTCTCGTCGGCAAAGATTCCGAGAATGATGCCAGGAGGCAGGGCTTGGGTGAGGCCAGACAGCGCAAGGTGGATGCAGATCGGAGACTACTTTCAATTGAGGTGCCGTGAATTGCTGCTTTCCAACACCCGCTCGACGGAGCGCTGACTGGCCCAGGTCGAGGAACTATCCCGAGACGTGGGGTTCAGGCTCTCCGATGCCGAGCTGCAATGTCGAGATGCCTCGCCCAACATCAGCGAGATCATCGGCGGTCTGTTCAAGTCTGACGACAAGCTGCTCTCCAGCCTTCAGAAGCTCGGCTGGGAGCTCCACCAACCCAGCCCGGACGAGCAGCAGACGGTCGACAGGCTGCGTGAAATCTGCAGTAGGCTAATCAAGATCACGGTGCAGACCGTCCGCATCAAGCTCGACACGGTGTATCTCGATTCCCTCGTCACTGCTGAGCGCTCTGGCCACGTCAAGCCCGCCACGGTGGAAGAGGTCAAGGCTCTCGAGGAAGAGGTCGAGTCACTCTACTCGGAGATTCTGCCAGTCACCCAAATGTCCGTGGAAAAGCAGCACCTCGAGCCCGCCATCAAGTCCATCACGGCAAAGACTGGCAACAGTCTATGCCGTACTACTGAAGCACTCGCATATGTACGTCTCATGTCTGCTCATGTGCTCTCGGAACTAATCGCGACTTAGATCAATGACTGCCTGGACCATCTGTTGGATCGAACAGCTCGCCTCCGCGCACACATTGCAGCTCTCCGTTCTCACCAGGCTGCGACCGTAGCGATTGCCTCGATAGCCAGAGCTGAGATTGCCCAGGCCACATCACCGCCGAAGCCACCGGGAGCCGGATTCCCCGCCTCTCCGGTCCGAAGGCCATCGCCTGTGCGCATTGGTGCCACCGCGACTGGCGCACACGGCCGACACAGGTCTTCGAGCATCCAGGACCAACCGGCCATCGAGATGCTCGTGCAGAACCTTGGCTTGTCTGTGCCTTTTCTCAGTACGGACGAGGGCACGAAACAGGTAGAGTTTCTGGCTGGTGTCTTGGCAGATCGATCGCAAAAGGCCGCCGAAGTCGTACGCGGCGCTCAGGAAAGTTTCGAGATGAGCATAGAGTCGCAGCTACAGGACGGCAAGCTCGCCGTTCAGCTTGTCCGCGACGGCGTTTTCGCCGAGAGTCCGTTTGGCGAGGTGAATCTGGTGGACCCCGAGCTTGAGGAATCTATCTTGGTGCTCGAGCAAGAACTTGGGAAGGCCAGGGAGCGGCTGCGCGCGGTGGGCAAGCTGAATCTCACCGCCAAGAGCGAGAAACGAGACGAGATTTTGCGGAGATTTGGGTAACAGCTCCAGCAACCATCTACTTGGTAAAACGAGCCACATATGTCGTTTGCACTTTGTTTATACTTTGTTTACCTGTCGCAGTGAGTATATCGAAACTCTAGGCGGAGCTGTTTGCTAGCATGGCACGCCGACGGGACAGCATTGTCCAGCTGCATACGAAAAGTCGTCTTCCTCTGCTGATCAATATCCCTTGGATGGTTCCGATGTAACCAGCCGCAGCCGATGATGGTTTCGATATCTGCGTCCTCTTGGGCTTAACACCCCTACCAAGGAGAGCCCTTTGCCGTGCCTTTGGCTTCATTCACCGCAAAGAAAACACTACTGTATACACAACCGCCCCCCCAAAGTCGAAACTTGAATTTCTCCCTCAGCTATATTCTTCTCGTAGCCTCTTTGTCTGCTTGCTGCTGCCGATTCAGCACGGATCAGCTCTCGTTTGTCGACGGGGAGGTGCTCATGCCATCTTGCCAAACCACCTTGGCCGGATAGCTCAACAGTGTTTTTAAAACACGTCTCCATGACTTCATTCATAAGTAACTATTCGCCCTTGGCCCACCGACTCTCTCCCTGCCACTCCCCGTCCTTCTTTCCAATAGTCCGCCGTCATGCGACTCTCTTGCCGTGGCCGTACGTGACTGGCTCGGACGCCTTGATGCCGGCGACAGCGCTTGTCAACGAGAACTGCACAAACGTCCTGGAACGTGAATGCACGTCGGAAGCGGAGGGAAGGGGCTGACGTGCATGGATGGGGCAAGTCATGGTGCTCAAGGGACAGGCAAGCAAAATAAGTTTCGCCCCGACATTGGTAAATGCCCGTTTCAGGGTACAAAAGTCAGCAGTCTAGTCTCTTGCAGTTCAGCTGTCTCAGCACAATCCCGGTTGTGTCCAGTGAGGAAAACGTTTGTGACAAGCTCACTGTCATGATTCCTAGTTGTATTTGTGAAACCATCAAGTTTCTCCCAGAAGGATACTGGAGCATATGCCCGCCCCTCAATCAGAGTGTCTGCTTTCTCCCTCTCTGCAAGTCGTCTTGAATTGATTTTCCACTACGTTCTTCCCTCCACCTGAGCTGTTCTTGTGGGAGAAGGCCGGAAAGCCAGAATGTCGGGTCACGTCACGGTTCAGAGTTTTACACAACCCGTTTTCAATTGCTCCGTACATCGTCAACCAAAACAATGGCCATCGCTGGCCGCCGCTCTCTCGGCTTCACCTCCCGTGTCCCTTAGCTCCAAGTTTCATCCAGCCTGACATCCATCCCCACCTCGACAACATCACGAACAAAGAGTCTTATCTCTGCATCGTCCTCGCGAGTCAGCTGGCTCTCCGCCTTTCTCTTCGGCCGAGGCTCAAAGTCGTCCTCGGTCAGGATCACGCCGTTGAGCATCTTCCCAACATGTGTCCGCTCGATGCTTGAGTTGCCACTGTATCGGATCTTGGCCATGAGTACCTTGAGGAACTGCACGGGGCTTTCGGCAAAGTTTGTCCAGCCGCGATGCGGGCGCACTCGTCTTCCCGGCTCAATGAAGCCGTCGACTGCCGCGTCGTCGCCGTCGGCTGGGTCTCCCGAAGTTAAACATAAGTATTGGCAGACGTCGACGTATTCTTGATATGAGTCAAACCACAGCTGGCCAGCAAAGAGGTTCAGCTGAATCATGAGATCGCGTGGAATCGGGTGGTTGGATGGTGCCTTTCCAATGTGGAAGAGGTCGAGGTTCAGTGGCGCGTAAACCTGATTCTGCCGAGGCGCATAGAGTCTCAGTAGCACGTGCTCCGAAGCCTGTATCGAGGCATAGAGCTTTTCTGCTTCATAAGGACTTATGAGGACGACGATCGTCTCCCTTCTCTCGGCCTTGTGGCTAGTCAAAACGAATTGGACCCCACGCTGGTACGCGTCTGATGGCGCCCCTTCCTTGACAGTGCTGGCGAAGTCATGAGTGCATCGCAGCTGGCGAGGAAACTTCCGGACATCGAAGTGTGTGGCTGCTGTTGTGTTCTCCAGAGTCTGAAAGGCCCATAGAAAGCCATTGTTGCTCGGAGGCAAGCAACCATTCTCGATGAATTCCCTCACTTTCGGGTGCAGTCTGTGATCAGCTGGTGTTGCGTCCACGACCCGTTGAACTTGAGATTCTTCCTCTAGCTCGGGAGCCAGCTCTCGTTCCTGCTGTTCCTGCAACGATGCAGTCTGGATTTGGACGTGAAACTTTTGGCACCGCTCAACGATCTGTGCCAAGTTGCTGGGATCTCCTGGCAGCTCTGCAATGCTTGGAGGTTCGACATAGTCCGGTTTGTACCGGCTCTCGAGGGTTTGCGCCTCGTTTTCCAGGAACTTTTCGGCCAGATCCTTGCTCAGACAGAGCCTCTCGTCATCTCTTGACTGCCCCCAGAGGATTCGCTGTCTCTCATATCTCTTTCCTTGGACGGCCCAGACCCCGATTAACTGCTGGCAGTCGGTCCAGGTTTCGCGAATGCTCCAACACAAAATGTCGCTGACTTCGATTGGGCCGGAGCCAAGCCACGGCTGTTCCCGGATGCGCATCTCGATTTCCTGAGGGACGCAAAAGACAACCGTTTGACCGGCGCCCAGTTTGCGCATTCTCATGCAGGCCTGAGCAAGTTTGTCCTTTGTCGTCTTGGCGCCCAGGGTCACCGCCGCCCTCGACGAAAGAGGGAGCTGCAAATCAGTTCCGAAGCATCGGGCCTGGTCCATGAAAATTAGGCACAAATCAAGCTGCTTGGCGAACGGCGACGTTTTCAGAGGCTCCTTGTGTCCTCGCCGGTCGATGACGACAAACTCGTCATCCTCGTCACAAAATAGAGCCGCTTCTGTCTTGTCGTGATTTTCGGTCAATTCCAGCCAGGCCTGGGCAACCTGCTCATTCGACATCTCCAAGACTTGAGCTCCCACGTCCAAGATCACTCTCACGCCCGGTCTCATACCCACGATAGCCTTTATAAGCTGACTTCCCAAACAAGGCCCGTTGTGTCCCATCTCGGATAGCAAGACGACATTGTTTCCCTCCGCAAGCATGTTACTGAGGACCATAGCATCTGTGTGCTCCTGGTTTGGAGCTTCAATTTGCCTCATCTCGAGAGGGAGGGCATGGGATGAATCCTTTGTACCCGAGAACCCTGTGGTTGGATAGGGCTTGATGCGTCCAATGTCCCAGCCTGAGGCCGCAAGCTTGGAGGGAAATTCCTTGATCGCCTTTGGAAACACAATGCGAGATAGAAAGTAGTCAATCGCCCCTTTCGAGTATCTCAGAGCGGAAAAGACTTCTTGGGTGCGCGTCTCGTCGCTTAGGTTTAGTCCGTCCAGGGTGCAAAAAGCCTCTGAGAGACTCGTACTGGCCGTCCAGTTCGCGAATTCATTTTTGGCTTGGTCCGACTGCGACACATGCTTGAGAGACGCGACCAAGTCTTCGTCACTCATCCCGCCGTAGTAGAATGACAGGGTTGACAGAATGATCTGAAGATCGGGGTGGCTGAACTCTGAGGCCAGCGAAGGGACGTTTTTGGCTCGGTATGGAACCGCAAGCTTCGTGGCTGGCTGGCGATTCCAAACCAGCCCATAATCCACTGTCCACCGTTTACTAGCCAGAGCGAACGCGAGTACGCCACCCGCCAGGAGACCACGTAGCAGCAAAATAGCATCCTTAGTCGAATCCGTCCAGACACTGGTCTGGACTTTCTCAATGACCGAAATGTCGACATCTCTGTCTATTATGTAACGAAGAATTGCATCTTTGACAGAGTGAGACTGGCGTCCGATCGCCAATCCGGAGCTGAGGCCGACGCGACAGACATGTGCCGCAATCAGACTGTTGAGCTTGGCGCCAGCCTCTTCAGAAAGAAGTCGAACCCGCGGAAATCGGTCCCGGTGCTGGTCGTCAATCTCGATGGCGAGAGGCAATTCACGCTGAACTTGCTTTGCGAACTTGGCAACCATGGATAACAATTCATGAATGAGCAGCCAGCGGTACGGACTGAAACCGATGGGGCCTTGCTTCCCCTTTGTGTAGATAAGTTCGAACTTTGGGGAGAAGTTCTCGTCAGACTCGTCAATCAGATCCTGAGAATGGTTTTGGAACAGGGTCAGCGTCTTCAGAAGGATTTGACCCAACTCTGGGCTCTTGTCGTTTTCTGTGCTCTTGAGAATGGCCATCAACTGCAGCGAAAGTATATGCTCGGGCTGTACGAGCAGAACCCCTCCTTCATCTCTGCAGTCGGTGCAAATTTTGTGAATATGCTGCGCCTCGGCCTCCCGGATATTGATTTTTCTTGCAAATGGCAAATAAAAGACTCGGCGCCCGAGAAGACCTCCAAGCTTTGAAATGAGAATCTCATTCATTTGCCTGAATTGCGGCTTCGCCACAAGAACCCTTGCCAATCGCAGGCCGTCGGCAACAGAGGCGGCAACCATAGGCGAAATCACCGTACTCTTCCCCTCTCCCATGCTCAGCTGCAAAACGGCGTTTTGGTTGTTGGGCGGGTTTTCCATGATGGCAGCGATCTGTTCCTGGACGGGACGAATCCGAAAGTTGCCCTCTATCTCGAGGAGGAGGTAGTCGGGGTGTCGCAAAGGACACCAGGCTCGAGGCCTCTGGTTCTGAATCTCCTTGACCAAATCTGCCTCGTTGCTCGCCAACTGTAGCAGACGTTCGGCTTGTTGAAGTTCGATTAAGCTCGTTGCTAACATAACGATGCGATTCCTCACTGCTTCACCAAGTCTTTCCCTGTTATCCTGGTTTAGTTGCTCGAGGACAGTCCTGACTGTGATTCTTGGCCAGCTGTAGGACGAGGCCACCAATTCGGTTGATGACAGTAGGTCTAGAAAACGAGACCCTAGAGGTCGTCGACCTGCGAGGCGCTCGAAATTGCGCCACAAGTCCTCAAACTGCTTTTTGCAGGACGAAAGGTGGCTCTCAAGTACCTCAAAAAGACCGCGTTCTGCCTTCACAAGCTTGTATCCCTGAATCTGGTTTCCAAGCGATGAAACGCTCTGTTTCAATTCGTTTACATAAATTGAGTGTTGCTTCGTGGTTGCTTGGGTCGAGATCTTGTTCAGCAGATCGAACAGCCGAGGGCTCGTCGTAGTCTGAGTAGGCACAAGCAAGAGCTGAGCCAACACGGCTGGCTCACTACCATTGGCCTCTATCGCTGAAGCTCTTTCCAGAGCCGCAGCGACTGTAAGGAACCTCGGGACCTGACGTGCTGCGACATAACGAGGCTGTCGAACCTGGCGGTGTGGTGAAAGAGTTGTCCTGGACACTTGCGTGTCCCCGAGCGTTTTGGCGATCTGGTCAAGATACAATTCCATGGCACTATTCTTTTCACATTCACGGAAAATCTTGCGCAAAGAATCAGAGACTTTGTCGAAGTGAAAAAAACGCATGTACGACGCGTTCCTGTGAAATTCGATGGCTTGACTGGGCCAGTTTGCAATCACACGTTGCGCAAATTCGTCAACAGCTTCTTTCTGGTGCCTTTTAAAGGTCAATCTCCGTCTCTGATTGGTGGCGTTTCCAGCCTCTCCCGGATGCGCGGGAAGCCTTGCTTCATCGCTCGTCTCAAAGTCGACGCAGGCTTTCGACAGTGCACCTCGCACGTCTGTCACTTTAGGCTTCGGCCCATGGGACAAGGCATATGAAGGATAGTCGGGGATTGCAATCCTTGTAACTGCCCTCACTGAAACAATGCCGAGAAGGGTTTGGGTGATGGTGACATCGGCATGCTCGGCGAAAGCGATTGTTCCCATCCACATCATGAGGTCGAAGGGGTTCATCCTGGAACCTCGGCTCGCAAAAGCTTTGTGGATTCGAAGAAATGCTTCCGGCAGAATCTGATACGGAGCCTTGAGCCATTGTGCATCAAAGTTAAACTCCGAGTCCGGTAGCAGAGGGGCAACAGGGCCACAAGTAGTTGCTGAGCCACTGCCCATGAGAGACTTTCTGATGAGTGAAACGGCTTTCCTTGCTTGCTCAAACTTGCTCATGATCTTGCCTTCTCCTTCGGCCATGACAAGGCACGCATGTAAAGCCATTTGGGATCTCGTCGCGTTGAGATTGGGCTCTCTTAAGCCGTATTCTCGGTCATGTTGGCTTGTAAACACTTCAGCACCAAAGGCTGAAGTAAAAAAGGACGACGACCGAATGGCATTTCGCCGCAGAAGGTTGACATCCCCCAAGTTCAGGTCAGGGATTTTAACCTGGCTTTGGGGGTAGAGAAATCGCGTCTCGATCGCCTGGTTGAAGAGAGCTTTCACTGCCGTGTAAAACCCCGGGCTCTGCGCAAGGGACCCAGGTCCGTCGCTTTGCCAGGTGGTCACCTGGATTCCGGGAGATTTTGGATTCAAGTAACGTCTTTTGGGCGTCAAGCTTGCGATACTGCACAGAGTTTCGACATTTTCGGAATCCAATGTTTGAAAGGATCTCACTTCACCACTTTGTAATATCTTTAGGGCTTGCTCCGTCCCGGAAATCCCAGTAAGCGGGTCTGGCAAACAAAAGGATGTCAAAGCATGGAGATGAGCCAGATACAACTTGCTTTGGAGGCTGCTCCCGACCAACCTGCCTAGGTGATTGTCGATGTGGTAAGATTGGATTCTCTTGGCCGAGTCAACCTCCACCGCAACATGCGAAATCTCTTCGCTGAGGTATGAGAGTTTAGAAGAAACCGCGCCTTCAGGGATAAGGATCATTCGCGGAAGAGAATCACCCTGATCACTCAGCAAGAGCTTGTTCCTCAAGCCTATCAGGGTTCCAATTTCCTGGTAGCTGCTCACGCACATGCCTCTGAACTGACGGGATTTAACAAGCGTGGAGCCCATTTCGACGTCAAAGTCGAGCTTCAGCCGCGGAATTCGGACGCAAACCTCTCGCTTCGCCGCATGATACGAGACATGGATGTAAGAGGTTTCCTCGATAGGGCGAAAGACAGCCACGACGTTGCTTGCCGTGGGGCTCGCAGGATCCACCAACGCTTCTCCGTTGGATCTGGAAATACGCCAACTGCCACCGTGTTCTTTTATACACCAATGTTTTGGGCACGAGGTCCAAGGATCAGTTTTTGGGCGAAACTCGACTGATCGATTTTCCGAGTCGAAAAAGTGGACAAAGTCATTGCCGAAGCTGAAGGGCAATCTCCCAACAAACACCCGGGAGGGGATTAAATAGTAGACTGCTCCGTCTTTCGTGGCACGCAAAAGGAGATCCTTATCGCTGTTCCCAAGACATGATTGACTCAGACCCAGGGAGACTTGGTGACCGCAAATCTTGCTTCGTGCCGAAAAAGCGCACCCAGGCTCCGTGCTGGGCATCACATCCAGCTGGCGCGAGCCAAACAGCCCATAGTCTGGATGCGCCTCATATTCGGAGGGAAGTCGACCCAATATGCGTCCATCCACTATTAGCTCCCCTAAGAGCAGATTCAGATGGATAGTGACGCCTCCATCGGCTTGTGCCCGGTTGGAAGCCCAGCACTCGGCCTCAAGGTCCCAGGGTTGGTCGGACCGCCATGCATGGCCAACAGCGCCGTCAAGGCTCCTCCGGTTTTCATTCAGAGTCTCGGTCATGATGGGAAGAGCTCTCCGAGCGAGACGCTTAGACCTGAGCATCAAGATGCTGAGCATGATATCCTCAGAGTGGACTTTCGCTTGGGTTTCCCTGATGCGTATCAAGCATCTCAGAAATGCTTCACCGGACTCCGCAAGGATTCCGGGGAGGAACTCGCGTTCCACGTCAAAAGAGGAAAGGCAGACCAGTGCGATTTGGAGACATTTTCCCAGACAATCTGATCTTTCAGCGTTGTCTGTCGCCGATGTCGCCTTGTCCTGAAGGATCGTGAGCCAGCGGACGCAAGTGTTGCGACATTCCGCAAGATACTCCAGACATGACTGGCGTAATTCAACAGGCCCAAGCGAGAGGAGCCGAGCGGCAAGCATGGTAAATGTCCAAACGGCTTGGTAGGATTCCCAGTTCTTCTCAACTCTCTTCCGACATGTTTGTAGCTTCTCCAAGAGTGCCGTCGCAAACTCTTCGCAGGTCAAAATCTCGTGACAGTCCCTGGCAGGGTTGTCAAAGGCAGGGCCTGCTTGCTCGGAGAGTTGCAATGCGAAAATGGCTGCCTCAATCTGCTTCTAATCGACCGAGGGCATAGCCAGTTGCACGAGGATATTCATCCACTGTGTGCGGTAGCCAAATGGAAGAGCGCAAAGCGCCTTGTATTCCCCGATGGACATTTTTTCCGGACAAGCAGATTGCTGGGCTATGACCACGTTTGGCCGTGGCCCTTGACCTTGGAATGCGCTGCGGCAGAGAAAGTTCTGGAGAGAGCCCGACGGCGGGGGCAGCTGAATCGTACACTTTTTCGAAACATTGGCAGTTGCTTTGAACTGTCCCAGGAAGGCTGCGGCCGAAGTATCAAAGAGCCTCCAATGCATCTCGTTGGCGACGCATATATCGTCCACGGTCACATCTGACCCAATCTGGATGCGCTGACGAGACGCTGTCTGTGGTTTCGTCTCGGAGGCGACTTTGACACGCTGGTCTAGCGAGCTGGGCTTGTAATGATCAGACAGGCCCTCGAATGTGTGCAGTGCACATTGTGCGCGTGCGTCGACAAGACGACGAGATTGGTAGCCCAACACGTCGCTGAGGAAGTGGATGCTGGCATCCCTCCATGCCCGAAAGGACGGAGGCACGGCCAGCTCAAAGACCACAGACCAGGTCTCGGCCTTGCTCGAAGGCAATGGCCACTCGTACGCCTCAATTTGTAGCCTGCCTGCTTCGGCTTTGTGTAGGCATCTGTCGCAAGTCTGGGAGTGGCTCGGATCCGAGTCCTCGTCAAGCCCATTATGCTGCGCACACGAGGTTGTCGCGTACTGTTCCATGTGTGAGTTGTATAATGAACGAAGCTGCTCAAACTCCTGGCGCTTCCTGTTCCTCCTTTCTTCTGCTTGCTCCAGTATACGGTCAAGAATGCCTTGATGCTCTGGTGAATCGGCAGCAAACTCAACGGAGAAGCATCTGTCCTTTCCAAAGCCGAAAATGGCGGAGCGCTCGGCACGTCGAGTTACATTGTTGGAACGTGCTTTGAGATACCGCTCCGCGCGAAAGAGCCTTTCCATGTCGCTTTTGAACCTGAGCAAGAGAGATTCGAATGGCCCGGTGGGGACTTCGTGATCATATCTTGATAGAAGAGGATGAATAGAGCAAGCCGTCTTATCGCACGCGATCCAGAGATCGAGGAGGGTCAGTAGCATGGCCGAGATCCCTTCGGCAGAATCTTTGTACACGAGTTGGGCGATTTCAAAGTATTTTCGTATGGCGCTTTCGATTTTGGAACAGGCCTGAGGATTCTTTGCGTTCCGCTGCGCCCACCCATCAAGGTGTTCAGAAACCCATTCTTCAAAGGCATAGAGATTGTGCACCTCGTATTTGCTTGAGCCTTTGATGGAGTCGATCGCAGGTAGCTCTCCAGCACTGCACGAAAGAAGGTGGGATTTTGGACAGAAAAGAAGTCTCTTGTCGACGAGCTGCCGATCCGCGATGGACGCGAGGAAATAATCAAGTTCCGGCAGATTGAATCGAGTGTCTGCCTCAACATCAGGCGCTGCCAATCGTGTGAAGCCCAAGAGTTGGGTGTGGGCCTCGATGGTTTTATGCCATCTTGACTCGAGAAGCTCGGTTGCATTGCGCAAATGCTCGGAAACTTGAGACATCCAGTGTTCGTGCTCCTTCAAGTCGAGCTTGACCAAACGTCTTGCCAGTTTTCCGCTCATACACGCAATCAATTCGCTGGCCAGTCTCGCTGCTGTAGCCTCGCGAAGAAGCTGAGCCAGATGGAAAATCATCCATCGCTTGTAAATGCCATCAGATTGAGTCCCCTTGAGGGTCGGGGACATGATCTGCTGCAAAGAAACGCGTAGAAGCAACCAGACGGCCGAACGTTTCCAGGGACGACTCTTCCCATCCGACAGATTGACCTCTTCTCTTGTGTTCTTCCAAATGACTTTTCCAGGAGAGGATTTGCCGTTGGAAAGCAGGAAGCTTGATAGCAAATCAGTAACCAGGGTAGGGTTGATCGATTCGTCATCGGGGTAAGCGTGACCCGAAGCCGTCTCCGAGACATGCTGCTCGCTCATCTTGGAGATGGTGGCAGCTGATGTTGCTTGAAAATCCAAAGACGTAAAGATCTTGGGTGTGACGGCGACACCGAGGCTCGGAAAGCAACGTCGCAAGCGGCCGACAGCTGCCAGGACAGTTTGATTCGGTGGCGTGAGTTGAAAGACTTCGAAGACGGCAGTTTTGTCGGTACGGCGAATGACGATCCCGGCATTCTGTGCTTTGACATGGAGCGGTATAACGAAAGCTAGAGAGACCCTGGAGTCAGAATCCAAGTCGCGGCCAAGGGGTTGTTTCAGGGCTCTTACAATCGTCTTTGGCCAACTCTGAGAAGAGTTTTTGAAGTCGATCTTGATCGACGCCTCCGAAGTCTGTTCTCGTTCTCTTGAAGTTGAGAATCATTTGTGTCGCGGCACATATGGCTTCTCGCATGTCCTCTCCGACGCATGAACGAAAGTCTTTGAGGGCCGTGAGGACGCAATCGACGAGGTAATCTTCGTGTCCTCGGCCCTGGCTGCGGCTGGGCAGCTTGACGGGAAGGAAGACATCGGAAATGACCGACTCGAGATGAGCCCCGCTGGGGGGAGCCATGTTGGAGGCCAGACAGGCAGAGGGCCTGCCGGGTCTTTGCGGCCACAGAGAAACCAGAGAGGTTCAGATGGTGACTGAGCGCGAGGGAGAGAAGATGGGCGGAAGGGAGCAAAACGCGGGAGAGCGAAGAGCGAGGGTGTAGAGGCGTAGAGCAAAGGAGGAGAGCGACGGGAAGTTGTGGGGAGTCGTGGCGGAGGCGGGAGCGAAGAGGTCGAAGCGGCGAAAGAAATTCAAGGCGTGAACGGGGTTAACGCGCCGCAGTAAACAGCCGTCCGTCCGTCCAGTGGTTCGGGGCACGTGAGCGCTTGCCAACGTCATCAGCCCACGTTGCCAGGGCACCAAGACGTCTGTTCACCCACGATGTGAGAGAAGTTTGAGAAACTAAAAACTACCTTTAGGGAGCTCTATCGTGCCCATCATGACCAGAGTCCTGCGCCTTCATTCGGCCGCGGCCTCGGCCTCTTCGGCGCACTCCTCGCCCTCGTTGGCCTTGGCCTTGGCCTTGGCCTCCTCTCCGCATTCGGCGCTCTCGCCAGAGGCTTCCACGCTCCTCGCCTCCCCAGGTCTGGTTACTTCGCCCGGTTTGGCCGTCTGGCCCGGTCTGGCCGTCTCACCTGGTCTGGCCGCCTCGCCCGGTCTGGCCGCCTCGCCCTTGGACTCTTTCTCCTGTTTCTCAATCTGCTCCTTCTGTTTCTCCGCCGCCTCCTTCTGTGCCTCGGCGTCTTTCTCGCGGGCTGCTTTGATTATCTCCTCTTGCTGCTCCGCGGTCTCTTTTTGCTGCTTCTCGCCCTCTTTCTCCTGCTCCTCGGCCTTTTCTTTCTGCTCCTTCTTCTCTTTTTCCTTCTCCTCGGCCTTTTCTCTCTGCTCCTCGGTTTCGCTACCTCCCTCAGCTCCTCCGACACCTGCTTTTGGTCCTTGCTGCGAGCCTCCTATGGCCGTTGTTCCGTTGCCTGCTGGTCTGGCTCCTCCTCCTCCTGCCCCTTCGGTACCTGCTTTGGCTTGTTGCTCAGCGGCGACTCCGCTGGGCCCTGTGACGTCTCCCGTGCCGTTCTTGCTCTCGGTATTGGAGGACTCGATTGCCGCGATGGTGGCTTTGGCGATGCTGAGTGTGCTCACCACGCCGCCGGCGATGGGCATCTTTTCCACACCGTTTTTGGGGCTGGCATCGAGAGGAATGGCCATGGTGGAGACGGCAACTCAGGGTGGCAAACCACTCAATCAACTCAACCAAAGAGTCAAATTGAGTAGATTGACGGCTTACATCAGCGAACCTCTCGTTGAGTTGAGCAATCCAAGCCCTCGTTGAATTGATTGCGTTGATTGATGGAGTTGATGCCCTACCCTACCTATTAGTAAGCTACTTAAGGTCCTCAACACCATCAACTTCTCGTCCTTCGTGGGCACCTCTTCGGGGAAGACATCGTCATCGACTGAAGCATCAATAATCCCCTGGTAGTCGGGTATTAGCCCTGCCTTCAGCCAAGACCGAATTGCCTGGCCTGCATTGATCGTGTTAGCCTGAAGCCGGCTGCGTAGTCGTGTGACCATTAGCCCAGCAAATGAGAACGCCCTCTCGCACTCTGCTGACATTGGCGGTATAGATAGCATATCAAAGGCCATTCGAGCAAGTCTGGGATACGTTGACTCTTTGAGTTGCCAGTATTGGAACGGATCCGTGATGTCTCCGTCATCTGCGCCGATATCAACAGTCCAGCGATCGAATTCATCGGCAGTAGGTGGCCCACGACGGGTTGTGGCCGTCTGACCAGCTTGTAGCCGGTGCCTCAGTCGGAACTGTTGGAACTCGTTCAAGTCGTCAACCTTTCGACGTTTAACCATCGGAATAGCCTCGTCATCGCTGAGAATTAATGACTTATAGTCGCGTTCCCAGATGCCCCGAACAATCCGTCGTGCCTCAAGGACCCATTCAGGTCGATGAGCCCAAGCCTCCTCAAACCATTGCAGTCGCAAGGCGGGATGGAGAGCGACTGCAGCATAATATACCGGGCACTCAACCAACTTGATATAGTATTTCTCCAACTTCTTCCACCCCAATTCGACGTTTATCGCGAAATGCTCGGAATCAGGCACATCCTTGGCGAATTCCTTTGCCTCTTCCAATCGTTCAAGGAGATATTCGAATGCTTGGATAATATCCCATGCTGTTCCGTATGCCACGAGGTTGCCGCCCTTACGCACCCGAATCTGGGCATCTCCCCTCGAGGGCCTTGATGGCATTTTCGAAGTGCTTAAGAATATTCCGAAAGTGGCTGATCACTGTTGATGCGTTTTTTGCGTGTCCCTACGCACACTGGAGCGTTGGGCACGGCACCAAGCATCAAGGACACCGGCTGCCGCACGCACAGCCATGTGAACAGGCAGCCGTGTGAACAGGCAGCCGTGTGAAACAGGCAGCCGTGTGAAACAGGCAGCCGTGTGAACAGGCATCGGTATGTGGCTGCCTTGTAAACCGGCCGGATCGCCTAGATAGTCCGACCTGGCTGCCTCCTACATAAGGATGAGGCAGTCATAGCTTAGTTGGAGAAACAACGATCCCACTTCATCTCATCCATATGCAAAATGCATCAACTGTCCAGTCGTTACCGGTCAGCAGGTCAGAATCTCGGAGGCATGCAGGCATGTCTTTCTTCTTTGACCTGCTTCGGGTATATTCGAACTGTTCCAATGCGACGAGGTCGTCAAGAAAGTCGTGCAGTAGAAGGGCTCGATCCATCATCTTATAATGGGACAACCATCGTGTCATGTTATCCGTTAGAACGTCAACTGGTTTCTTCGTACTGTCCCTCTTGCGTTGTAGATCCCGAAGCATGTACGTTAACCTATCCGATTGATGAATCCAGTGGACAAGGTTGTGGAGCTTGCCAATAGGCCCCCTCTTCCGCCAGAGATCATGTCGAGCAAGGTCCAGGTCGAGTCGCTCTTCTGATTTGAAGACTTCATTATCTTTGCCAAAGAGCAGCGCTTTGGCCACGAGATTGATGATATGCCCAAAGCAGCGGCCCCGTCTCTGCTCCCCTTAAAAATAAAAAACGTGCCCCAGTGCTGCTACCGCCGTATCGTTATTCTTCGCATTGTCAAGCGTGAAATACCCGATCTTGTCTTGAATCTCGAATGATTCGATCACTTCCGCCACCTGCGACGCTATATTCTCGCCAGTATGAGACTCTCGGAGTTCAGGAGCCCAAGGATGATCTTCTGTGGCCGCTTTTCCTTAGAGAGATAGAACGCAGCAATCCCATTAAGCGCATAGCGATTGGGCGATCTCCAGCCGTCAAACGCAAGGTGTATCTGCCGGGGCGCTCCTCAGTTCCTTTATCACAATATGCTTGTACTGGTGGTATTCTTGGAAAAGCTTCGTTCGAATAGTCGAGTGTGTCATGTGGGCTTGAGTCAGGGCGATCGAGGGATTGAGGTATTCGAGAAGACGCCGGAATCGAGGGGCTTCAACTGCGCGGAAGGCAACATTCGACTCGGTGATCCAAGCAAGCAAGAGAGATTGGAAGACATCTTTATCGAATTGGTTTTTTAGCTTGTTAATGAATGCTTGCTCCTTCTGGTCATTGGCATCGAGGTTGAAGAATTGGGCAATAGAACGCTTGTTGGTTGTAGAACCCTTCGGTAACCGTCTACCTGATGGGTCAATAACATTGTGAGCATCATGTAGATGGCGCTCAATGTTTAGGGTCCCTTTGCCGCGAAGCTCACGGGTCCCTTCGGCGATTTCTTCGGTAAACACCGCTCACAGACCCAGAGGCGATTATCTACGTTAGCTTGACGTTCAATGTCGAACCCAAAGCTCCAGATCCACGATTTGAGCTTGCCGGCGCGTTGAGACTTGGTATAGCCGCGGAAGTGAAGCCCGGGAAGGCATCCCACTCGAGATGGGGAACGGGGCCTGAGTCGCCTGAATCGCCTGATGGCGGCAAGGGAGTAGAAGAAGGCTCAGGAGATTCGCTCATTGCATATAGGAATGTTTAGATCAGCCAAGGCGTTGTGGAAGAATCGAGAAGTGTAAGTGGAACTGAGGCGAGAGATTGAACTTTGTTGTGAAGCGCGTCGATGCGCGCAGCGCGTCGACTCTTCCAACGGAACAGGGGGCCCTGTTCCCCGAAGAGGAGAGCAGGCTTACCTACAACGGGCCTGAGTAACCTGTAAGGTTAGTGGTAGCTATATACCCAATCCGTACCTACATTTCGCCTTGGCCACCTACCCTACAGGATCCCTGACCGTCAACGGCAATCTCATCAATCCATCAATCAACGGGAGCATGAATTGAATTGACAAGCTTATTCAGCAGACACTCGATTGAGTTGATTGAGTTGACGGTTGCTCAACTATATTGAGCAACCGTTGCTGGGATTGAGTGGTTTGCCACCCTGCGGCAACTGGTGGTTTTGAGTCAGTGGTGTTGAAAACGGAGAACCCTGGGGAGAGCAGCAACTTACAAGCCAGAACCGCGGCGGCAGCGATGCGAACCATTTTACTAGTGCTTGCGGGGTGGGTATATAATAGGCAATAAAAATAACGAGGACCGGGCCGGCCGAGATGAATTAACACAGGGGAACAGACGACGCCGGGTCGTTGGTCAAGGTCAAGAAGGGGCAAAAAGGATGGATGCTGGAGTAACGATAGCTTCGAAGAGGCAAGCAACCAGCGGGCTCTCTTGTTATATCTCGGGTAGACTGCCTGGAGGTGACTCCGTGCCTGCTTCTATTTTTGTAACACGCCATGTCCGCCGTGGTTCATGCACGGCACTATGGGACGGCCCTAGCCTGGGAAAGGCCGGCGACCATGTCTGAAAAGCTTGTTTGATTTGCCTCGAGCGGCCATGTCGCAGCATGTGGACTAGACTGTATTAGAAATCGGCCTCCTTCTCGCGTCTGTCCCTCCTTGAGCCGGCGGAGCAGGGAAGAAGGACTGACGTCCAAGGCAGCATTGAATGGTCCGGTGTGTGATTCCGAGACGACGGGAGCTGACAGCCAAACGCTACTTACCTAATGGTCAAAAGAATCCTGGGTCCAGAATCCTGGGTCCATATCGTCTGCTAGCCTTACTGCTTGTGGCAAGCCTGGCGGCGTCTGAGACGTTTGTCAGGGGGCGTGCCGGTGGCTGAGATGGCCTCGGAAAACTGCCACCACGAACAGATGGAAGCGAAGGAAAAGGGAAGACAAACTGGGGAAAAGGGCGTTGTAAACTTGCCTCGTGCGAAAACAGGTGGCCGCGCCCCTCGAACGCAGCAACGTGGCCCGCCTAGTTTTGTGCCTCTCGACCAGGACACGGATGCCCGTTGCAACAACTGCTTCGCAGCCGGTGTTGAAAGAGGCTTTCCGACCTTGCTCTAGCCGCCGGCCTTCAGCGTCGGCTCTTCTCTTCTGCTTCTGCTTCTATTAATAGCTTGTCGGGTGCCGTGGCGTCGATCAGGGGCAAAGCTGGGCCCAGTCGAGTGTTCCTTGCGCCTTCTCTAGATTGCATCATACGTCTCGGACCAAATTGAAGGGACGTTTCGGACTTCGACAGCGCCTCCGTCTTCCGCCACCATTGCCTCCTTTGCCTGTACATTCGGCTTCCCATAAGGCAAAAAATCGAGAACGAGGTCAAAGCCTCAGCTGGAGAAACGTGCATTCGGAACACCAGTGCAAAGGACAGGGCGGAGGGGGGCCAATCCATGTCGAGCAATCAGGCATAGTTTGTAGCCCCCACGTTTCCTGTCCATCTGGCGCCGGGAATCGTCTGTTGAGAGCATAGCTTGTGCCGCAGGCTGCACAGCCCGCGACTCATGCGACGGGGTTCGTCTGCCACGGGTCGGTGTACGGAGGCAGGATCGGTCGTCCACTTTATAAAGCATTTGCTAGGGTGTTCTGCCCGGCATCGTCTCATCCGGTAGATCACTAACCGCTCGCTTGGGCTCCTGTGCGGGCGACGGCGAGGGAAGCTCTACTGCTTGAGTAGGAGGCGCCTTGCAGGCTTCAAGCAAACAACTCCGTGGCAGGAGCTGATGGGAAGAGAAACAATGGCGCCGCACGACCTCATCTGAGGAGAAGAAGTCCGCTCACTCCACCCCGGAACATTCTCTCGACTTGGCATAAACTTGAGCGACTCGCTTTCTCAGCTGAAACAACTCGATTATCGTGCCTTCACCATACATCCCAGCATATGTTATC